ACTAGGCAAGTCAATTAAGAACAAATTCTTATTTACAATGACGGCCTACACCAGCCAAACCCGGACGACGCTGGGCCAATTGTGCGCCGCCCTATGGGACTCCCAATCACGGCCGGTTGTGATATAGCCTGGAATCGAACCAGGGGGTCTGTAGTGACGCCTCAAGCACTGAGATGCAGTGCCTTAGACCGCTGCGCCACTCGGGAGCCCAAATCATATCCAATCAATTGAATTTGCCACAGGTGGACTCCTATCAAGTTGTAGAAACATCTCAAGGATGATCAATGGAAACAGGATGCACCTGAGCTCAATTTCGAGTCTCATAGCAAAGGGTCTGAATACTTATGTAAATAAGGTATTTGTTTTATTTTTAATGAATTTACAACAATTTCTGAACCTGTTTTCGCTTTGTCATTATGAGATATTGTGTGTAGATTTGAGGGAAAAATATAATTTTTTTCCTCAAATTAATTTTAATTTAATACATTTTAGAATAAAGCTGTAACGTAACAAAATGTGGAAAAAGTAAAGGTCTGAATGCACTGTATGGGTTGCTACCCTAGGGTCATGCACAACTCATGAAGCAAATGTAGAACTTTTATTATTCATAAACATAAAATGCCATCATACCATAAACAATGTGAAAAATATTGTGATATAATATGGCCATATCGCCCAGCCCTATCATGATGTCACAATCTTATCTGATTATAATAGACCAATGACTGTTCATCTGGGTAAGGGGGGTGGGCTCTAGACCATCCTATCAATCAGGCCTGTGTATGTAAATGTCTTCAAATAAGTTTCCTAACGCACACACAATCACTGAGCATTTCAATGGTCAAAAGAGGACCAGGGAAAGAATGATTCAAAATATGAGTTATTTTCATTAAATAAACCGTGATTTATTAGACATACAGTAATGATTAAAAAAATAAGACTGAATGGGGGGGCTTTTTGGCCCAGTTCAAGTAGAGGCAAACAGCAAGTTAGTGAATGCTACATGAACAGGAAAATGTTTCACTTATAACCTAGTCACTCGGCAACTTAAGTAATGGTCAAATCATGAAGGAAGAATTTCTAGCATTCATCTACATCACGTCCTTGTTCTAATTTGATTTATGTTCTGTCTACTGCAGGGGGAGAGTGAGTTCTGTCTCCTGCTCGCTCTGCCATGTGGACGGGACCAGGAGGATGTCCTGAACCAGACCCAGGCCCTAAGAACCGCTTTCATCAACTACCTGCAGGCCAAGCTGGCTGCAGGCATCATCAATGTCCCCAACCCAGGCTCCAATCAGGTGGGTCTCAGTCTGCCTATTTAGGTGTTTGCTACTATCGATGTGTCTGTTTTTGAAAATCTTCAGCCACTCCTTGTTTTTGATCAAATTTAATTTGTTTGTAAATGTGAAGTTATACACGCCCCTACGTATTTATTTGGACAGTGAAGCTAAAACTGTTAATTTGCCTCCTGTACTCCAGCATTTTGGATTTGAGATCAAATTTATGTGAGGCGACAGTACCGTATGGCACCTTTTTATTTGAGGGTATGTCAGTTTTACAGTTTAGAAAATAATGTACTTTATGTATCTAGTCCCCCATTTTGAAGGTGTCATAAGTATTTGGACAAATTCACTTTTAGTGCAGTCAAACTTCATTTTCCTGTGTTTTTATATACATTTCCACTCTGAGGTTGTAATAATACTGTGAAAATGATGATAATGCCCTTTTAGTGTAAGAGCTGTTTTAAGAGATCGTCTGAAATGTCAGCCTGTTTTGGTGGGATCGAGTTTTGGCCTGCCTGGTGACATCACCAGCAGCAGTAAATTAGTTAATAGACCAATAAGAAAGAGTTCCAAAACCCTCTGCCAATAACAGGTCGTTTTCAGTTTTCCCCTCCCAACTCCGACAGTCCTAGCTAAATTCTTGCTTGAGAAATTGCTCTTTGCTAAGAAGCCATTTTAAATTGAAAACTATCACAGTAAGGTAGTTAATTGTTATCTGGAAATAATTTGATATTGGGATAAAAATGGCTGCATTGGACCTTTTTTAATAAAAATAAAAATAAAGCTTGTGACTCTACAAACTTGTTGGATGCATTTGCAGCTTCTTTTGTGTTTCGGATTATGTTGTGCCTAATAGAAATGAATGGTAAATAATGTATTGTCATTTTTATTGTCAATAATAATATGTTTCTGAACACTTCTACATGAATGTGGCTGCTACCATGATTATGGATAATCATGAATGAATTGTGAATAATGAGGAGTGAGAAATGTAGATGCACAAAGCCCCCAAAACATGACCTTTTTTGGGGGTATGATATTTATGCCTCTAACTTTCTTTCACGATTCATTCATTCATGATTATCCATAATCATGGTAGCTTCCACATTAATGTAGAAGTGTTCAGAAACATATTATATAATTATTTACAATAAGTGACTCCAAAATGACACAATACATTATTTACCGTATAGGAATATGGGACAAAATACTAAACTTTTGACTGAATTTTATACACTAAGTTTATTTGTCCAAGTACTTATGACACCTTCAAATGGGTGGATTATGTAAAGCGCTTTAATTTCTAAATGCTAAAACAGATGTTTGAAAATACCCTAAAATAAAAGGTAACATACTGTACTGTCGCCTAATATAAAACATTAATGTGAGTTCTTTTACATTTTAGAAGTGTCTTTAGATCGTTTAGTCTTTCTGATCCATTTCTCTCTCTCTTCTCCAGCCTGCCTATGTGTTGCAGATATTCCCACCATGCGAGTTTTCAGAGAGCCACTTATCCCGGCTAGCCCCTGACCTCCTCAACCGGATCTCTAATATCTCCCCTCACCTCATGATCGTCATCACCTCCGTTTAACGACCCCTCCCCCCCCAGCAAGAAAAGGGAAAAGCCTCTTCTCTTCAGTGGACGTACTTAACGTTGAGCCTCAGGAACCAAGAGGAATGGCAGGATCTTTGCTCCTGGAGACACTGGGAACATGTAGGAATAACGTCCTGTTGGAACTTTTCCCTTTTCCATATCAAGTCTTTTTTTTTTTGTCACTCCTGGTATTTTTGTCCTTCTCAAAAGAGCGAGCTCAGGGATGGATCAGACCAGAGCCCTATGTGTCCATTCTTATTGGACCTCTTTTCCTGCTGTATTTGTATTTATTGGGGAGTTTTATTTTTACGTAGGGAGTTACTTTGAAGAAAAATCTGGATGTTTGATGAATAAGAAGAATGAGTGACTAACTGTGTGGCCTTTTTTTCCTTCATCTTTTAATGATTATGGTTCATTTTTCAATTCTTCATAAGAAAGGATCATAGAAGTCATTGTACAACAATGAAAAAAAAATAATAGACATTTCAACATGTATTTAAACAAATGTCATTTTCCAGCCTTTCCCATAGAGGAGAAAGCATTAACTTCAAAATACTATTAGGGCACCCTAATAGGGCATGTCTCAAATGGCACCCTATTCCTCATAGTGCACTACTTAAAGCCCTGGTGAAAAGTAGTACACAAAGGAAATAGGGTGCCATTTGGGACTCATAGATCTTGTAGAGAGGACAGGGTCAGCCTAACAAACCCCTTTGATTCCACCAGCTCTGCTGTTCCATTTTCTCTCTACTCAAACCAGACAAGGCTCTTCCGTTCCACCTGTTTCCGCGTTATACGAGCAACAGTGGGATTTAACGAGTTTTGGAGTACTGGAATCTGTAAATATTTTAAATATTTAAAACGGACAAAATGGAACTTGGGACAATTTGACACCGAGAGACTTCCAACCAACCAACCGTGGAAATACAAGATGGTAAGGTGGGATTGTTGGGGTTGTAAGGAAGGACGCAGAGGGAAACCCCTTGATTTTGTGGAGTAAATGCTTCTAACACAGCAGGTTGGCAAACTCGTGTGGAGTTCGCTGAGGGCACTTCACATTTTGTTACTCCAATAAAAAAACAATCCAGAAAACTTGAACATTAAATGAGCTCTTTTATTTCATCTGGATGTTTGTCATTGTTATTTCTCTTTGAGATGCTGTCTGTTTGAAATAAATGTTTGAACATTGTATAAATATAATCTGTTCAGTAAAGGCCTACTTCTGCATTCCTAACAGTTGGGTTAGGTTTATGTAACATATTGATACAGGATGTGGTGGTGGATTTGGCGATTTCCCTTCACATTGTCAAGTATTTGGAAATGCATTCAATTATTAATGTAACGTTCTATAGTTTAATAGCATTTAATCACTGATACTGTCTACCAGAGGGGTTACTGTGCATTGGAATTGTGTTAAGTAATCACAGAATAGTTGCATAAGTGACACATTGGGCCAAGTCCTTACACACCCCCAGCCACCATTGGCTTTCACACCACTTAAAGTCCAATGAACTACAGTGCCACACAGCACATTTCAAACTTTGCTTCAATTAAAATTTTTATTGCAAAAAACAAATTGCATATTAAAAGCTTCAATTTACGAAATGATAACATTTCGACCCCTTAGGTTTTCATCAGGGATTACATTTATGAAATCTCACCATCTGCAGATTAAACAAGTCTTTCCATATAAAAGCAAAGTACATGTTAATATTTGATTGATTGATCATGGGCCTTTAGACAAATTCCGTTCAAAACAGCATTTGAGGAAGCTCTATTGGACTAGAATTATACATGAACATTTTACCAACATGGTGAAGAATACGGATACTTTCACAATAATAGTAAAAAAAAAAAAAAAGGAAAATACTAGTAGCTACATGTAAATAAAATGATCAGTCATTTGAGGCCATTCACATAGTAACATGGATGTCAATTATAAATCATGTACAGTAGATTGTACAATTAAATGTCAACCAATATGTTGTGGTGTAAGTATACACACTGTGTATAATTTATATACATCCATACTACTAAAGAGAGTCTGTGTATCCACCTGTTTGTGTTCAAGAAGTACTCTGTGTGTGTTAGTGTGTGACATTTCTTACAAAGACAATTATACGTTAATGTTTCAAATCTACACTAGAACCAAACAGAGCTACCAGCTGGTTCTCATATTGGGAAATGTTCCTCTTCATAATCTCCTTACAGGAACCCAGCAAACGCTCAAACGCCTGAATGTCTATTACTGCAAAAGAGAGGTGGAGGAGAGAGAAAGAGGGGGTGTCAAGTCAAATTCTTTAAAAGGCTATTGATCTAGAGCCATACTGATCTACTGGGCCTGTATTCCTAAAGTGTCTCAACGTAGGAGTGCGGATCTAGGATCAGGTCCCCCCTTTTATTCATTATCATTTAAAAGACTAAACTGACCCTAGATCAACACTCCTGAGACTACTCTGAGGCGCTATGGGCCCGATTCAGACTTAGGAAATGTACGCCTTTCCTACGCACTTCTCAGTAGTTCATATTCAGACTTATTAACCTTATTCAGGTGCGTAACAGGATTTGCAGGCGTGGTTCCCTTCACATGCGCTGAATACATTTAGTTAAACCGCTGTAAATGTAAATGAAAACCCTCCCACTTGCTGGCCGACAGAATTTCTCATGGAGTTTTCATTCAATAGGGTTTTCGGTACGTTTATCTAAAGCCATCCCCTAAAATTTGGTGTATCTTTAATTCGAATTTTCTCGACAGACTCACTAGATTATATGGAGAGAACGTTTCAGAATATTAGGGATCAATGAAAGAAAGCCATGTAAATACACGCATATTCGTCTACTTTTCAGCACCAACTGATAGATTTAAAAATACTCTGATCTTGTATATTATTTAAGGTTAGGAAAGTATTTATGATTTTTTTTTTTTTTAAAAAACTGTTTTAGAGAGCCTATTCTCAAAATATATTGGTGAATCAAAAACACAGTGCTTTGATTCATCCTGAAAGTTGCCATATTCAATTGTTCAACCAATGAAATATTGGAAGGTAAGAAAAATGTACAATAGGGGTTGACCTGACCAGTAGCCCTATAAATCAACCCTAATAATCCTCACTAATTATGGAACTGTGATGTCCAGGTCCAGTCGTCGTGAACTGTGCGCAAAGGCTCCAGGTTCAAACTGCTAAGTATGGTCTGCGTTCCATAATGATTCAAATAGGTTACATGTTCCAAATTAATGCACAGCTTGTAATACGTTAGCCTAATATGATCCACTATTGCTAGCAATCCTCAGGAACAACCACATGAACGTGACAGAGGAAAGAAAGGTAAACTAACGATGTAATGGAATGATGCAAAATGTAAGGAAAGTAACACTAAAGTGACAGTTATAAATGTATGTTGGTAAAACTGACGGTGGCTACCGATAGTGGCTAATATTTAAAGATCATGAACAGTCAAAATAATATTTTTCATGAAATTGGATGATATTTAGATGAAACCATATGGAAGTATGATGACCAAACTATGAAAAATAATTGTTGCTTCTACATTGATAAAGTTTGATCATAAAGTTACTGGTCCCCTCCCCCATGTCAAAAGCTTGGATTCAGGAGGCGGGATTATTTTAATACACCAATGGTAACATGATATTCTCTTACCTAATTTAAATAAGTACCGCCTTGTAACCAACATTGGAGAAGGCGTGTTTGCGGAGGGGCGGGCGTGGTTTATATAGCTAGATAGCTACTCTGCGGTTGCCAAAATTTGACTGTAGGGTGTCAGCAAATATAATTTAAAGTTTACACTATTAATCTATGGCAAAGATACACTATATATACAAAGGTTTGTGGACACCCCTTTTAAATAAGTGGATTCGGCTATATCAGCCACACCCGTTGCTGACAGGTTTATAAAATCGAGCACACAGCCATGCAATCCCCATAGACAAACATTGGCAGTAGAATGGCCTTACTGAAGAGCTCAGTGACTTTCAACGTGGCACCGTCATAGGATGCCACCTTTCCAACAAGTCAGTTTGTCAAATTTCTGCCCTGCCAGAGCTGCCCCGGTCAACTGTAAGTGCTGTTATTGTGAAGTGGAAACGTCTAGGAGCAACAGCAGCTCAGCCGCGAAGTGGTATGCCACACAAGCTCACAGAACGGGACCGCCGAGTGCTGAAGCGTGTAAAAATCGTCTGTACTCAGTTGCTAGGCCACACAAGCTCACAGAACGGGACCGCCGAGTGCTGAAGCGTGTAAAAATAATCTGTACTCGGTTGCAACACTCACTACCGAGTTCCAAACTGCCTCTGGAAGCAACGTCAGCACAATAACTGTTAGTCGGGAGCTTCATGAAATGGGTTTCCATGGCCGAGCAGCCACACACAAGCCTAAGTTCACCATGTGCAATGCCAAGCGTCGGCTTGAGTGGTGTAAAGCTCGCCGCCATTGGACTCTGGCGTGACGAATCACGCTTCACCATCTGGCAGTCCGACGGACTAATCTGGGTTTGGCGGATGCCAGGAGAACACTACCTGCCCGAATACATAGTGCCAACTGTAAAGTTTGGTGGAGGAGGAATAATGGTCTGGGGCTGTTTTTCATGATTCGGGCAAGGCCCCTTAGTTCCAGTGAAGGGAAATTTTAACGCTACAGCATACAATGACATTCTATACAATTCTGTGCTTCCAACCTTTGTGGCAACAGTTTGGGGAAGGACCTTTCCTGTTTCAGCACGACAATGCCCCCGTGTACAAAGAGAGGTCCATACAAAAAAAAATTGTCGAGATCGGTGTGGAAAAACTTGACTTGACTGGCCTGACCTCAACCCCATCGATGGGATGAATTGAAACATCGACTGTGAGCCAGGCCTAATCGCCCAACATCAGTGCCCGGCCTCACTAATGCTCTTGTAGCTGAATGGAAGCCAGTCCCGCAGCGAGGTTCCAACATCTAGTGGAAAGCCTTCCCAGAACAGTAGAGGCTGTTATAGCAGCAAAAGGGGGGACCAACTCCATATTAATGCCCATGATTTTGGAATGAGATGTTTTTCTTTATTTTTACATTGTAGAATAATAGTGAAGACATCAAAACTATGAAATAACACATATGGAATCATGTAGTAACCAAAAAAGTGTTAAACAAATCAAAATATATGTTATATTTGAGATTGTTCAAATAGCCACCCTTTGCCTTGATGACGGCTTAGCACACTCTTGGCATTCTCTCAACCAGCTTCATGAGGTAGTCACTTGGAATGCATTTCAATTAACAGGTGTGCCTTCTTATTGTTGTCCTGGTAACTCTAATGAACTTATCCTCTGCAGCAGAGGTAACTCTGGGTCTTCCTTTCCTGTGGCGGTCCTCATGAGAGCCAGTTTCATCATAGTGCTTAATGGTTTTTGCGACTGCACCTGAAGAAACTTTTAAAGTTCTTCACTTTTTCCGGATTGACTGACCTTCATGTCTTAAAGTAATGATGGACTGTCATTTCTCTTTGCTTATTTGAGCTGTTCTCAAATCACAACACAATTGATTGGCTCAAACGCATTAAGAAGGAAATACATTTCACAAATTAACTTTTAACAAGGCACACCTGTTAATTGAAATGCATTCCAGGTGACTACCTCATGAATCTGGTTGAGAGAATGCCAATCGTGTGCAAAGCTGTCATCAAGGCAAAGGGTGGCTACTTTGAAGAATCTCAAATATAAAATATATTTTGTTTAGTTTAACACTTTTTTGGTTACTACATTATTCCATATGTGTTATTTCATAGTTTTGATGTCTTCACTATTATTCTACAATGTAGAAAATAGTTAAAATAAAGAAAAACCCTTGAAAGAGTAGGTGTATCCAAACTTTTGAATGGTACTGTATGTCTCCCCTTTCATGTGTGTCTGGTGTTAGCTAGTTACTGGCTAGCTAGGTCTTCAGAATATTCTAAAATCCGCATAAAAACAAAGGCGCATTTTCACACCAGAGATGTTTCCAATAAATTGACTTGTTGCAGATAAAAGGCTGTGCTAGCGTGATGATGTAGTGCACATAAAAATACATTTTGCGGTTAAATTCCCATGTACGGAATAAAAAAATACAAGTTAAATGGGTTTCCATCGCATTTTCAACTCTACTGATGGTTTTCTCACCAAAATAATTGCGTTATATAGTGAATATGTCCACTCGTCTATTGGCAAGTGCGCTATCTGTGCGCTGTTGGCTAGAGCGCACCTGTAGTGTACATGATGAGATTATATGGACAAAAGCAAGATTCTTTTTATTTGTCAAACTGCAGCCAAGCATCGATTATCATGTCACCAAAATAAGACCCTTGATATTTATTGTAAAGGCGGATCAAGCTCATCACCTTGCACTTTCACCACCCTGTGAAGTTCTTTATAATGTATTTCATCTGTAGCCTAATAAACTGCATGCTTTCCCGACGATCCTAGTGGGAGGACCACACAACATGTCATCACGTGACTCCAAGTTTTCTTCGATTTGATGGTTATTATATCAATATTTGTGCATAAAAATGTTACCACCGACATTTATCGCATAATTAATTTTACCGACACAAAAATACCTCACCTTATCTAGTGTATTTTGTTTTGTTGACATTTAGAAAGTTTACCCCCCAAAATTATGTTTCTATCAGGCTGGTCATGATATTTATTATCCGATATGTACTTTACTCGCATAAAAAGGTTGGATGGAAACCTGGTTATTGATGCAACTTCAATGTTGTTTGAGTTGCTTTGTGTATCACCAAATTTGCTTGATATGATTTTACTGCAACACCACTCACTGCATCCAAGTTTCTTGACATAGGCGTTTCAAACAGCTGTCAGTCAAGGCGAGCTCATGACAATAAGCTCCCCTCCCAGTCAGCCAGTCTTTTCAAACTTCCTGGTAGTTTGCCATGAGAGAAAAGGTACGTTTTCTCAACATTTTACATTTCTATTCCCCTAAAATATTCGGGACCTTTAACACGATACAAATTGTAAAAAATACAGTTACAATTAAAATATAATTAAAAGATTCTAGAAATCATAAATCAACTCGGTAGGTTTGGTGCTAAACTGTCATTTGCACATGGCTACAGAAGCCTATAGCTTGGGTCTCCACATTTCATATCTGCAAGTTATAAGGCCAGCATTTCATAAACTTCACTGTGGAAAAGGTGATATGTTGATATGCTTCAGTTTGCTGCCATGTGACTGGTTTCACATGTCTCCAGCGATCATAAGGTGAAATAGATATAAAACATGTATCATTTATATTTACAATCCCCTTATCCAAACGGCTTACTAATTTACTATTATCAATAGCTCTTATCAATTTGTAAATTACATTACATTGCATGGAGAATGGTGTTATTTCTATTGGAAAATTTTTTTAGTAGATGTTGTTCCACTTGGAACCGACAGGTTGCTCAACCTTATTCATCGTTTCATTGCACGTAAAGGTGGTGGAAATATGAGGGAATTAAGTGAAGGTCAGAATACGGCCTATCTGTAGACACACCTCCGTCACACCTTTATTTCTTAGATCTCAAGCCAAAACGAAATAGCGGGTGAATAGCATGCTATTCTCATGCTTAAATTCTAGGTCAGAATAGGCGTAGAGAGAAATGTTCATAAAAAAGGGAATTCCGTTCCATTTACTCGCGCTTAACTGGGGCCGAAATTCTCCCCTGTATGAATACAGTCCATGATCTATTCATTTCCAACTGCTTTAGAGAGAAAGAGAGAAGGACCATGAATATCAATTTACGAATGAAGAATAATGGTATGTATGTGTGTACATACAACGTACCCAAGCACTTGGCAACTCCCACAGCATAGACGGATGCTGCACGTGGTTTGTTGGTGACCAGAGCCAGCTCTCCAAAGTATTGGCCCCTAGAGCAGCGTGCAATCTCCACCTCTGCATTACCCTGCTGCCCTGCCTTAGTCTAGGTAGGGAGACATAGACATGATAATGATGCTGCAGTACTGATATAACCAATTACATAACTCTCAGTTACAGTTATCCGTTCCTTATCTACCACCCAACCTGATAAATAAATTTACTAGCTGCAAAAGCAGGAAAGCCAGTCGTACCACATTCCAAAGACACTAGACATACAGTACATACAGTGCCTTGCAGCAGGTACCCACAGCAAACTCGTTATTAATACAGTAGATCTAACACACCCCCAAGGGAAGTGGAAAACATGTACACCTACTTTGCTTAATATCATGATCTTCACCTCCCCAGATTCCACAATGTAGAAGCAATCTGCCTTATCCCCCTAAGATTGCAGAAAAGCAGTGGAATCAGCAGGGATACAGTACAAAGTAAAGAAGAATTGTAATCAAATATAAATTGTACAGTAAAAGTCCACAATACCTGTGTTATGATGCACTCCTCATCTCTGAACACTCTCATTCCCACAACATCAACGATCTTCATCCTCTCAGAGAGCTGAGGAAGAGCAAGATGAGGACAGACGATGAAGGTGTGATAAAAGTATACATTGATCTTTACATGCATTCTGAGAGGAAGGATTGTTTACAATGGATTCTATTTGTGCAATGTGAGCCTCTCATGTACATTCTCTTATGTTGTATTTTGAATGCACACTGCACAGTACACTTTTATTGTGAAGCACTTTAAGATGTTGTGGTCAAATGAAACAGACCTCGAGAGACTTTAGAAGGGGTACACACTCAATGAAGGCTTCGTAAATCTTCCTCTTCTTGGCATTGTTTTTCACTATGAGTCTATGAAATGTGGCCCGATCCTAAAACATACACATACAGGTTACTCATCTCTCACAGAAACACATCACACACACACACACACACACACACACACACACACACACACACACAGTACTGTACAACTAACCTTGTTGGGACACACAATTCAGTCCCATTCAAAATCCTATTTTACCTAGCCCCTAACCCTAAACCTAACCCTTACCCTAAACCTGACCCTAAAACTAACCCTAGCTCCTAACCCTAATTCTAACCCTAACACTAATTCTAACCTTAACCCCCTAGGAAAAGCAGTTGACCTTGTGGGTACCAACAAAATGTCCCCTGTTGGTCAACCTTATTCATTGTTTCATTGCACGTAAAGGTGGTGGACTTCTGGTCCCCACAAGTATAGTTAAACACGTCCACACACACATATATCATGTTCAGTCTCCTACTGTGACTCACCAGTCCCCACAGTGCCCCCTCCTGGGTGGCCATGATGGTGGCAGCACGTGGGGTGTTGTACATGAGCGCCAGCTCCCCGAAACTGCCCTTGTTGTCATACTTTCCCACACATTTCCCAACTCCGTCAATCAGTACAATAATATCATACACACCCCTACAACACACAGAGGTACACAGGACATCAGAGGAATCAGAGAACATCACATGCACATCAGTGGAGGTCGGTGTCATTTAAGATTAGGGAGGACGATTTTTTAATGAGCATGGCCTTATTTCTATTACAGCATATTGGAAGACTGTCATTCATATTCCATTCACCCAGCTCAATGTAACGTCGATGGGTTTCGGCTACTACATGATACTCGAATTTGCCCTATACCTATCATGAGGTTGCTAAAACCTAACCTGCAAATGAAAGTTTATAACGTAGTTGCACAGGTCGAGAGACAAATTGTAGTAATCAAGGTGACAGACACATACAATACCGCCTTGCATACTCTTGCCTGCATCTAGCTGATGATCTGGGGTGTAAGCATTAGTCCAAAATGAGAGTTTCTATTGGTGGTCCTCTGTAGCTCAATTGGTAGAGCATGGCGCTTGTAACGCCAGGGTAGTGGGTTCGATCCCCGGGACCACCCATACGTAAAAATGTATGCGCACATGACTGTAAGTCGCTTTGGATAAAAGCGTCTGCTAAATGGCATATTATTATTATTATTATTATTATTATTATTATTATTATTATTATTATTATTATATTTGTACAAATTCAGGTAGGTCCCTCCCATTTTCGTTCTGTTTGCTTCTCTTTAAGAAATGTTTTGCAACAGAATCGGCAGAATAAATACACCCCTGATCACCAGCACACACAGTTCACTTTCATAGCAGCCACATACAAATAGCATGATCACTTTGCTCGATAATTCCTTCTTGCATCTACGTGCTCTCCTCCTCTCACCTTTTCCCTACACTTGTGTACTTCAGTGCACAACACAACAGCTGTCTATGACTAGGCGCAAAAACCTCTCGAAGCCAAACCTTAATACCATAACCGCTACACAGCCTACATCGTTGTCACCATATTAACGTTATAGTCAACAAACTAGAACTAGCGCGTTAGTAAACCCACAAGCCAATCCATATGTACAATCAAACAGTACAGTGTACAGCAAGCAGTTTAGCAGTTACACAGGCAGTGGCAAAACATTTATAAAACCGAAAGCTTATCATGACTTGAAAGAGTTGCAATGTTGGATAACCTTAGTCAGCTAGCTAACATAATTTAAATAGTGTTCCTCTCTGTTTGAGTCATGTTGTTGAGTAGGCTAAATTAGCTGCATTAGCTAAGTAAGTAAAAGGTAAACTAAGAAGAAAAAAATGACAACTAAATATAGCTAGCTCCCTTTCTGCTGCTTCTTCTTCTTAATTTTTGAAGAAATACATTTGTCAGACCTGTTCAACTATTGTCTTTCGCTCTCTTTGCGTCAACTACTCACCACACTTCATTCTCTGATCCTCTGATTGGATGGAGTCAATGTACCAAGAGGAGGACGGAAAATAGCTGTCCTCTGGCTACACCATGGTGCTACCCTAGAGGGGGCTTTTGAGGCTACTGTAGACCTTCATTGCAAAACAGTGTATTTTAATCAGTTATTTGGTGACGTGAATATATTTAGTATAGTTTTATCTAAAAATAAAAAAAAGTATTTCCGTCCTGAAATTCACTGTGGAAGATGTCCTCCCCTTCCTCCTCTGAAGAGCCTCCACTGATTCACATAATTAGGCCTAATGCCTCTCACACAGAAAAAATATAGATTCAACACACACACACACACACACACACCTCTCTATGACATAGAAGTTGTCTCCATCGTCCCCTTGGTCTATGATGTGCTCCTGTGGTTTGACCAATACCTCAAACATGCCATCCAGCACCTCTGAGAACTGCTCCTGAAAGAGAGAAACAACACTCATACATTAGAGGATGACCGTGTGTGTGTGTGTGTGTGTGTGTGTGTGTGTGTGTGCATACTAAACTGGGACACCCAGCAACAAGCATCACACAAATATACTGAACAAAAATATAAATGCAACATGCAACAATTTCAACGATTTTACTGAGTTACAGTTTATATAAGGAAATCAGTCAATTGAAATAAATAAATGAGGCCCTAATCTATTGATTTCACATGACTGGGCAGGGGCGCATCCATGGGTGGACCTGGGAGGGCATAGGCCCACCCACTGGGGAGCCAGGCCCAGCTAATCAGAATGAGTTTTTCCCCACAAAAGGGCTTTATTACAGACAGAAATACTCCTCAGTTTTATCAGCTGTCCGGGTGGATGGTCTCAGACAATCCCGCAGGTGAAGAAGCCAAATGTGGAGGTCCTGGACTGGTTAAACGTGGTCTGCGGTTGTGAGGCCAGTTGGACGTACTGCCAAATTCTCTAAAACGATGTAGGAGGTCGCTTATGGTAGAGAAATTAACATTCAATTCTCTGGCAACAGCTCTGGTGGACATTCCTGCAGTCAGCATGCCAATTGCATGCTCCCTCAAAACTTGAGACATCTGTGGCATTGTGTTGTGTGACAAAACTGGACATTTTAGAGCGGCTTTTTATTGTCCCCAGCATAAGGTGAACTTGTGTAATGATCATGCTGTTTAATCAGCTTCTTGATATGCCACACCTGTCAGGTGGATGGATTATTTTAGCGAAGGAGAAGTGCTCACTAAAAGGGATGTAAACAAATGTGTGCACAGAATTTGAGAGAAATAAGCTTTTTGTACATATGGAAAATGTCTGGGATCTTTTATTTCAGCTCATGAAACACTTTACATGTTGCGTTTATATTTTTGTTCAGTATAAATCAATACAAACTGCAATGTGTTATGATGACTATTGAGAGGGTGTTTGTTTTGTTCATAACTGAACATAAGATAAATAACAGGAAGACTAACTGTATTTCCTCTTAACTTACAAGTAACTCTCAATACCTGAAGACAGAGGCTTAAATACAATACTTTACCTGGTCGAGGGTTTTGAACAGTAATGTATCTCGGCAGGCATCCTGGAGTCTGCGACGCTGCTCGTCTGATTTGGGGTGTACCACCCTTGGCTCAAAGTCATCATCCTCATCATCGTCTGGGTTATAGGCCTCCGCACACACTGTGGGGAAAAAAAACACTGTGACACACACTGGGGACAAACAAATACTCTCAAAGGGAATGTTGTGACTGTAACACACAAGTGAGAGACTGAAATAAGATTCTTCATACACCGCATATAATGGATGCAAAACCCACTGATGAGGCTCACCAGATACTCTGCGACTGTATTTATTTGGGGTGGGAGGTGGCACTAGAGAAAGAGAGAGAGAGAGAGAGATGTTTCAGCACTAGAAATGAAGTTGGTCCCACTGAACATCAATATTAGTTGTTCTTATGGATCGATTGAAACACATTAGCTTACACTCAATTCTGTCTGAATATAGTTACATAGATACACCCAACAGTATCCTCTTATTTTCTCCCTGAACCATTTTTGTCAGGGCACAGCAACTGATTTATCAAAAGTGGTTGAGACACCCTCTAACAAACGTTCATTATCTCATGTCGCTATAAATAGGCTACTGAATAATGAAATAATTCAGGACAAATAGCTATTCAGTAGGCTAAAATACCCCAGTAGCATCCTATCATCTGATAACCTCTGGCAATGGAAGACAAAATCATATGACTACACGGGCCCTCACGTTACTTTGAGAACACATTTTTCCATTGCCATAGGTTATCAGATGATAGGATGACTTTAAAAGCACTTCATAGTATTATCGAATAGAAACTAATATTATGATTCATTATGCATTCTGTGCGGTTATTTATGTAGTCTATTATGTGTGCAAGTGGGAGCAAGTAAAAAGTTATAATAATTGAGTAAAAAGGTTAACAGAAATAAAGAACATGGGAAAATATTTACATATATTTAATAATCAAATCATTGTGGCAAAATAGAGATGGAAAATGTCACTCACTATAGTCATCAGAGTCTTCATCTGATTCAACCGAATTACTATCAAAAGCCACGCCTTTTCGAGCAGAATTGGCGGGGCTGAAGTTCGCATGTTTGTCGTGTTTTCGGCTCTCTTGTAGACGCGTGAAATACTGGATTGCGAATTCAACCAAATCTGGCGGTCTGCGCCGTAATACCTCCACAGTGTATCCTTGCAGCATGTCCTTCAAACCAACAGGTATCTCGATGCTCATCATAGAACTATGGTGGCCTATAATAATATTTGACAAGTTAAAAAATACAAATTTGAGTAAAACAATCTGCCTAATCCATAACAATAGGCCTAAAAAAAAAAACACAAAATCATAGAACCCTATAATAATAATGAAGAATTTCCAAGACCAGGGATTTGTCAAACTTAGCCTAGGCCTAGTCATAAAGTATGCTAAATAGAATAAGTAGTAAAAATACAATAGAATTTGAATATAACCTTCCGTGTCTGTCCAATATAAAATGCATTCCCTGATATCCAATGTTGCCAAGGCTATGTGAGAATAAAGAGAGCCAGTTCAATGATCAGCGGCCATGGCAAATATCAAAGTAGCCTAAATGTCAAAATATCAAAGTAGCATAAATGTCAAACATAAATACATTTACTAAAAACTACCAATGACAGCTATCAAACAAATAAATTGTAACCAATTTACCGACCTCCTTGCAATGTAGCCTTTCGAAGATTAGTTAAGGTCTGATATTATGCATACTTTGCTAAATGCGCACAGCGCTGTTCTGTTCTGCCCCCCCCCCCCCGGCGAAACCCACCCATTTTACCCCACTCCCAGTCCGCGTCTACTGGTTGATTGACTGGTCTACCGGTTTCCCCGTTTAGACTAGAAGCAGCGTATCGGAAAGTATTGACCGGGCGTACTAGGCTATGTCACAACTTTTCAGATCAAATGTAATTCATGCCGGTCTCTAACCATAGGCCTATTGTGTATCGGACCTTGACCCGAGGTGCTCAGTCTGGGTAAAATGTATTTTTAGGGCTGGGCTGGGGTTATTTTCTAATCACCAGGACCTGTTTGACCACCACACCTATTAGATGTCCCTTTTCAAAAGGCACAACAACACAATGTGAACCCACCACAGCATAAATAGATAGTTATACACGTTTAATAAGATATTCTAATTGGAAATTAGAAATAGATTATGATTTCATTGTATTTATTTACATACATAATGACACATACAAACATGAGACAATGGCCCAATGAGGGTTCTCCATGTTGTGGCATAAGCTACATCTGCAACAACCTTGGAGAAAAGTATGATTAATTCATTCAATAAATCAACTAACAATTTCCAATGCGATTATTTGGTTATTGGATCACAGTTTGGAATGAGACTATACAGGGATGTTTTAATGTCCTGGTATGTTTTAAAAGCCATATATTTTGTTTTTAAACACACATACACACACACACAGAGACAGACACATGGCATACTAACACACATTATACCCAACCTGTGAAAATGTACCTATTCCCTGATATGCAGACTCACTCTGAGCAAGTAAAGGCACATGTTCAATTAACACATTTTCTAATTAAAAACACTAAAAACTAATGCAAGTAAAACACCAAGGAGTGAGAACAATGTGTGTGTCCCCTCTTTGTCCACCTCTACAATGTGTGTGTCTTTCTCAGTCTGTATGCCAGTCAGATGTCCAATGTGTATCTCTGCGTAAGTGTATATGTTTGTGAGTACTGTTGGTGTCCATGGGTAATCCTCTGTGTTATTGAGTTCTGTCTCTGGTGTCTAAGTCTGGGCCGTGGACAGGGATCACAGACTGGGTGCTGCCCAGTTCAGGAACTTCATGGCCATTTCAAACCCAAGGAAACAAGCCTAAGGGGAGATAGATCAATGTGGTCACCATTAATTGACTTCATGAAAACTGTAACATTTCTACTGGCAAGGGGTGAGAGTATTATGACTGTAGAATGCAGGCAATATAAACGTTTTGTACACTAAACCATACTGTTTATTCTGTGTATCATATGCTGTAATTACGTGTTAATAGGAGATCAGTGGCTGAGTATGGTGGACGTAGCATGTGCGAGTACCATCTCTGACTGATCAGTGAGTGTGTTGAGAGTTAACAGGCTGTATGTGAGTAGAGTGTGTGTACTCACTGCATTGGCGGGGAAAGCTCTGAGCATGACAGCGGTGAAGCCTTTGTACAGAGAGGCCACGCCCTCCTCCCTCAGTAGCTCTCGTAGAACGTCCCGGAAACCATTAGGGTACATCCCTTCAGGGGCTGGGAGGAGAGAAAGGGCTTCAGTCATACTACTGTTTTACACAGTACACTTAAGGCGTCCGCATGCTTCCCAGCCGAAACAGTTCTGAAGAGTTTGTGCATATACAGTATTATGATGACATTTTGTGACGCTTTTGTTAGTTTTGGACTTCGGTGAGGGTTTTTTCGGCTGTTCGGGCACACCATTTCTTTTCTGGAGGCAAGCCGAAGTTCGGAGCCGACGTCTATGCCCCTTCTTCGGTGATTAGTCAACAGTAGGGATTCTTCAATAAAGTCTTTGTTGTCATTCAACGAGAGACGACTTGTTTTCATGCACATTTTGTCATTGAGAAATCTTAGTTAGATGTCAAATTGCGCGACTAAGATCTCCTCGGCAAAAACGTCAAAATGAATGACACATTTCTTGAGTTATCTTAGATTCATTCTGACTATTATGAGGAAGTGTATACTGTCTACGGCATTTCAAAATGGACAAACAGTACTATTGCCGCTTTTTCTCGTTTTTCAAGCGAAGGTCTTTTTAGGGAGAATGCGAGCACACTCGTTTGGTTCAGCTAGCCGAGTTCAGCAAGGCGCCAACCGAACTGAAGCATGCTGACGACTTTAGTCACTCTACTACTCTAAACCAAACAGACAGTACGGTTGGTCAGCTATATACTGTATACTACACTTAGAAAAAAGACAACACAAGACAAGTAAGACAGTAAGGGTTGAGGTTAATTCTATTTCAAATCAGGAAGTAAATTGAAATTCTAATTCTAATTCCATTTTTCCACAATGATTTTCTATGAGGAAAATGTAAAAGTGGAATTGTAGTTTCAGTTTACTTCCTGAATTGACTGAATTGAAATGGAATTGACTCCAACCTGGTAAAAAATACCTATTATACAGTATTTACACCAAAAATGGGGCAACGTCAGAAATGCCAAAGACACACCTGTCTGGTAGCGAGACTTGAGTACATCGGGGGGAATGGCCACGGCCCAGTTAAAGATTCCTGCCATCCCTCCAGCGAACAGAACACTAGGAACACTCAGCTCATTGGGGCTGTGGAACCAATCACCCATTAATTACAAACAATACACACATGCCGTGACATAAACAAGTTACACGGCACACTGAAACAATAACACTGATACAAACAGCTAATCATACAGAGATTCACTAAACAGCTGTAAAAATATTTTGGGGTGGACAAAGACACGTGCTTAGGGTTTCATTTGCATACACACACAGTAAACACACATTCACCTTTTGCCCTCTGGTGTGAGGAGGCGCTTCAACCATTCATAGGTCATGAAATACATCCCACTGGCTGGCACGTCTGAGAAACCAAGTAACAAACTGTCAGAATTACTGGCAAAAACTCACAGTTGTGTCTTAACAACACAATCACTACTGAACACAAGTATCTAGATTCTAGATAAAGAGTTAGATATCAGAGACACGGGTATAAGACTTCCACTGAGTGTACAAAACATTAGGAACATGACATAGACTGACCAGGTGAATCCAGGTGAAAGCTATGATCCCTTACTGATGTCACTTGTTAAATCCACTTCAAATCAGTGTAGATGAAGGGGGAGACAGGTTAATTAAGGATTTTAAAGCCTTGAGACAATTGAGACATGGATTGTGTATGTGTGCCATTCAGAGGGCGAACAGGCAAGACAAAAGATTTAAGTGCCTTTGAACGGGGTATGGTAGTAGGTGCCAGGTGCACCGGTTTGAGTGTTTCAAGAACTGCAACGCTGCTGGGTTTTTCACGCTCAACAGTTTCCCGTGTGTATCAAGAATGGCCCACCACCCAAAGGACATCCAGCCAACTTGACACAACTGTGGGAAGCATTGGAGTCAACATGGGCCAGCATCCCTGTGGAACGCTTTCGACATCTTGTAGAGTCCATGCCCCGACGAATTGAGGCTGTTCTAAGGGCAAAAGCAGGGTGCAACTCAATATTATGAAGGTGTTCCTAATGTTTTGTACACTCAGTGAATATTCAGTCAGTAAGTACCTCTCATGAGGGTGAGAGCAGTGCCTCTGTAGATTCCCCTGATCCCATTCTCTTTGTACAGCTGCTTCACACAGTCCATGGGCCCAGCATACTTCACCTCCCCTTTGGCAGCCTGGATCTGTACACACATCCACACATAACATGTGATGTAACCAACTAGGTTAAAACCCTGGGTCTTCTGCATGCCACAAGACTGCGTTAGCCCACAGAGCTAGGCAGCGCAAGTCTTCCGGTCTCTGGCCAGGCTCCTTATCACGTGAGTGGAGTTCACTGAACCGCATCTCCTTTGACCTCAGCCTGTTATCCTAAACCCAGTTAACCTAATCCTATTAACCTACGTTCAGTTCTGTGTTGTGTACTGTATGTTTCTCACCTGTAGGAGACACTTGATACGTTCTCCAGGGGCCATGATGGCTGTGGTGAACACGCCTGACAGCATGCCGGCAGCAAACAGCTGTGGATACCTGAGAAGGACAGCAGATGGTTATGCACAACACATACATACATACATACACCTGCCCGCACACAATTTCAACATTTAAAAAAATGGGGAAGACTTTCTACTATGGAACAATCACCTACGTAAGGACATCGTCCGGGGTTTTCTGTTGTAGTTTCTTGCCCAGGCCAAAGCCGAAGAAGCAAACAGCGAACATGGGTGTGACTCCAATGATAGGGGCTGCCATACCTTTATACAGGCCTTTGAACCCCTGTTGTAGAGAACATGAGAGAGAAAAGGAATGAATAAGAGAGCGCAAAGAGTGGTGAACAAACAAATACATTGAACGGAAAACCAAAAAGCCATTGGCCTACTATTACCCACCTCTTTGGCAAGGGTCTGTTTGAAACAATCAAAGGTGCCTCTATACAGGGGGCTCTCGCCAGGGCCGGGCACAGGCATGGTCTGAATACGCACCTAAGAGAGGAGGATATGAACAGACTCACCCTATAGGCCTACACACGACATTACTTCTGTATAGAGGAAGATATATCTATATATATATATATATAGATATACACACACACAGCACCAGTCAAACGTTTGGACACACCTACTCATTCAAGGGGTTTTTCTTTATTTTTACTATTTTCTACATTGTAGAATAATAGTGACGACATCAAAACTATGAAATAACACATGGAATCATGTAGTAACCAAAAAAGTGTTAACAAATCAAAATATATTTTAGATTCTTCAAAGTAGCCACCCTTTGCCTTGACGGCTTTGCACAGTCTTGGCATTCTCTCAACCAGCTTCATGAGGAATGCTTTTACAACAGTCTTGAAGGAGTTCCCACATATGCTGAGCACTTGTTGGCTGCTTTTCCTTCACTCTGCTGTCTGACTCATCCCAAACCATCTCAATTGGGTTGAGGTTGGGGGATTGTGGAGGCCAGGTCATCTGATGCAGCACTCCATCACTCTCCTTCTTGGTAAAATAGCCCTTACACAGCCTGGAGGTGTGTTGGGTCATTGTCCTGTTGAAAAACAAATGATAGTCCCACTAAGCCCAAACCAGATGGGATGGCGTATCGCTGCAGAATGCTTTGGTAACCATGCTGGTTAAGTGTGCCTTGAATTCTAAATAAATCACAGAAAGTGTCACCAGCAAAGCACCCCCACACCATAACACCTCCTCCTTCATACTTTACGGTGGGAACCACACATGCGGAGATCATCCATTCACCTACTCTGCGTCTCACAAAGACTTGGCGGTTGGAACCAAAAATCTCCAATTTGGACTCATCAGACCAAAGTACAGATTTCCACCAGTCTAATGTCCATTGCTCGTGTTTCTTGGCCCAAGCAAGTCTCTTCTTCTTATTGGTGTCCTTTAGTTGTGGTTTCTTTGCAGAAATTCGACCATGAAGGCCTGATTCACACAGTCTCCTCTGAACAGTTGATGTTGAGATGTGTCTGTTACTTGAACTCTGTGAAGCATTTATTTGGGCTGCAATTTCTGAGGTGCAGTGAACTCTAATGAACTGCAGCAGAGGTCATTCCTCTCCTGTGGCGGTCCTCATGAGAGCCAGTTTCATCATAGTGCTTGATGGTTTGTGCGACTGCACTTGAAGAAACTTTCAAAGTTCTTGACATTTTCCATATTGACTGACCTTCATGTCTTAAAGTAATGATGGACTGTCGTTTCTCTTTGCTTATTTGAGCTGTTCTTGCCATAATATGGACTTGGTCTTTTACCAAATAGGGCTATCTTCTGTATACCACCCCTACCTTGTCACAACACAACTGATTGGCTCAAACGCATTAAGAAGGAAAGAAATTCCACAAATTAACTTGTAACAAGGCACACCTGTTAATTGAAATGCATTCCAGGTGACTACCTCATTAATCTGGTTGAGAGAATGCCAATAGTGTACAAAGCTGTCATCAAGGCAAAGGGTGGCTACTTTGAAGAATCTCAAATATAAAATATATTTTGGTTTTTACTTTTTTGGTTACTACATGAGTCCATATGTGTTATTTCTTAGTTTTGATGTCTTCACTATTATTCTACAATGTAGAAAATAGTAAAAATAAAGAAAAACCTTGAAAGAGCAGGTATGTCCAAACTTTTGACTGGCACTGTGTATATATTCGTTTTTTGTTTAATTAAACTTTTCAAATTGTACAAACATATAGAAGTTGGATTATACACTTAAAATGCATATTAAGCACATAACCAAGCACACAGGATTAAGAAAGAAATGTATACATAAAAAATCGAAAATAAATTAATAATAAACCTTTTACAAGATGCATTTCTTATTTCCTATAAGTGGCTCATGTGATAATACATCTGTAATGACAGGCCCGTCACTGTCATGGGGCTAAGGTAGTGCGGTATGACAGAAATGGACATATAGGTCAAAGGTCTAATGTTACACTCCACCTCATTGAGTTGTATCAAATGTAAAGAACAACGACACTCACATCCAGTAACCAATTATACATCTGTAAACATACATTTTCATTGATTAGTTTGCTGAATGCTGCGTGCAGCAGACACCAATGAAAGTTATGCTCGTGAGGCATGCATAGGGGGCAATATATTATTAACAGCTAGCTTTGCTAGCTAGTTGAGGAATTAGTTACTTTGAGAAATAAATAATTACTTTTATGGTATCAAGTGGATGTCCAGCGAAGACCAAGCAGACACCCCCAAAGCCCCCAGCAAAGAAGTTCTTCCCTGGACTTATCGCCTGCTGTTTAGACATGGTTTCTATTCAAGAAAAGACAGCTAACAAGAAAAGAAAAACACAAAATGTTGCGTCGTTATGACCCGTAACTACTTCAGAAAATAATTAGCTAGCTAACAGGTTACGCCTGTGTCGCTACTACCGGTTCAAATGAGAGGTATATTTCTTGACAGCCACCGTCGTGTTATCCAATGCAGACCTTTCACCCAGATATGTGCCCGGACCGAATTGGCTGTTACGCAAATGCTTTGGTCCTTCTTCGTTTAGTGTCCGACCTTCTTCAATGAGGTTTAACGGCGGTTGGCATCCAATAAATGTTGCATTACCGCCACCTACTAGACTGGAGTATAACTCCCTTATACTTTGGAAAATAAATAAATATATATATATATATATATACCCTACCATCTAACACTACACTCACTAAAAAACAGCCTGAAAGGATGGGACATCACCACTTAACACCCTGTAACTCTTCTGATGTCAAATCTAGCACACCCAAATACCTCTCTGCAGCTGACACCACAACCTCTATTTTCTGTGACTTACTTTTTATCCCTGCAGTGCAGTTGATAACCATTGCTATAAATGCCAAAAATCCAATCTTACTGAAACATATATCACTTGTTGGTTTATCCCTCTGCACTGGTACAGATCTACTACTCACACCATCCCTCCCCCTTGACCCATCTTCCTCTACTTTCTCCATTGCCTCAGCATACAGTGGCTTGCAAAAGTATTCATCCCCCTTGGCATTTTTCCTATTTTGTTGCCTTACAACCTGGAATTCAAATGGATTTTTTTTTGGGGGGGGGTTTGTATCATTTGATTTACACAACATGCCTACCACTTTGAAAATGCAAAATATTTTTTATTGTGAAACAAACAACAAGTAAGACAAAAAAACTGAACTTGAGCGTGCATAACTATTCACACCCACTTTGTCTCTCTTTTTCCCTCCATTCCTCCTCCGTATTCCAAGTACAAGTCTCCTTATGATAATACAGCACTTCTCCTGACCCTTGTAAAGGGACGCCATTTAACCGGCTGTCACAATCTCCATACAATCAGCACGAACCCCTCGGGATGTAGCGCTCAACAGTGCATCCCACGTGTAAAGCCTTAGTGTCCTACCATAAACGCTTCATATTTTTATAGGCCTACACTACAGTAAGAATTAAGCATTTTCTCTCCCAAAATGTTTGACCATACTTTTTCAAATATAATTTCAAATAAATGGCAAACATTTGGTATTGCTAAATATGCTCCTGCATAAAAATCATCCTGATTTATTAAAATGTTGATATTTACCCCAAATGTGTTCAGTACACTCACAAACAAAACTGGAACACTCACTGTTCATTGAGATGTTTATTAGTTGATTGTAAACATTAAGAAAATACACTTTGTTGCATCACCCCTCTCTGAACAACCATTTCAGATATATTTAATTGAGAAAATATAGTTCAATTGGTTTTATTACTATAACACAGTGGTACCTTAAGGGACAAAGGATGTGCAAACCTACAGGGACCATGATACAACCATACACACACTTACGAAAATATACACAAACTGTATATAGACATACACATGCATAGCTTTATGCATGGACACTGGATAATAAAAACACATACGTCAGAGAAAATACACTCTGGTATATATATATGTTTATATGTGTAAACACTTCCTTTTAAGTGTGTGTTAAAAGGTATGTGTATCATGATGGCCACTAGACTATTTTGCCACAGAAACACTTCTCCTATTAGCTCTAACAGAGCCAAGTAAAAAGTAAAAAGAAGCTATGACACAAAGAGAGAAATGGCTCTGATGGAGAGGGTGACTTAGAGAAGTCAGTAAGAGTGAGAGTTGCAAAGTAAAAAAAAACTGGATATGTGTATTGTGCTTAATGCAAAACTGGTGGAGACTAAGATGCCCTTTGTGTCGTGTAGACTGATTCTCCGGGGTACTATAATAAGGGGTTAAATTACAGTAGGGGGCATAGTGGAGAGCCATCCTAAGGATTGGACACACCATACTGTGGTAACTGACAGATTTCAGACCAAAATGATCAAGGCAAAGCAATCAATCAATTTAGGTGACAAGTCACTTAGTTAAACCCAGACTACAGTAAAAAAGAATACTGACCAATCGAATCTTATCAATCCCTTATTATTTCATAGGAATAAATAACTAGCTTCCCTTTCAGAGAGCCATAGCCATACAGGAAGTTAGTCAAGGCTTAGTTTGTAGTAGCGGCGTGTTCCAGCTTGTTGTTACGTTGTACAGCCTTGTTATTACAGTACCGTTAAGTTCCATCTACAGCAGAAGCAGCAGAGTAGGAGTTGTCTGGTTGAGAAGAATTTAGAGCATGTCATAGTTTAGCCATGCCTAGAGAGGAGGTTACTGTAGATAAAGTGTCGGGAAGAAAGCAAGGTAACAAGTAATGGCGAATGCAAGGTAACAAGTGATGGCGAAAGCAAGGTAACAAGTAATGGCAAAAGCAAGGTAACAAGTAGTGCTCAGTCAGAGAATCAAAGCCATTGATATTAAGGTAAATGAGGCTCATGTAGCAGCATTGCCATTGCAATAAATAGTGAGTATTAAACTAGCCTCAAAGCCTAGAATGTCTTGTTGTCAGAGGTCTGGTTCACCGGACACAGATTAAGCCTAGTCCATGTAGATTCTCCATTGAGCATGCTTTTTAGTCCAGAACTTGACTTAATCTGTGTCTAGGGAAACCGGACCAGAATGTTTCGTTATCAGTGTATTAGCTCATTTGGCTTTTCTTTGAACTGTCTTAGTAACATTCTGTGAGGCCATGCCTGGTGGTGAGGAATACGAGTGAGTGATAAAGACACATGAATAGACAAAGTAAGAAGACAGTATAGAGTACACTAGTCCCAGGGTTACAAGGCCCTCCGTACACACCGTAGTTTGGTCCCTCAGTACAAGGGAGCACATTTAGAGCACAATGCAGTATGTTGTTGGGTAACACTTCACTTGAATCCTCCGTCATAAGAGCTACATAACATTATCATAATCATGACATAACAGATGTAATAAACAGCCATGACAGCAGGTGTTAATCTCATCTCTTATGTCATGATTGTAATAGTGTGATGGAGGGTTGTAATAGTATGTTCACTCAGAAACTAAGTAGCTGACTACAGTCCTTTGTTAACCCTAGGAAGCTTCACAGTACCATCCCTCAGTATAAAGGAGCAGACTGCTGGATCATGAGTGGACTGTTATATTCAGTCCTCCTAGCTCTCGTTGATCTGAGGGAATTCCTTGTAGATCTCCTGCACTATTAGCTTATCCATCTGTTTGGCTGTGGCCCCGCCCTTTTCCGCTCCCAAGTCGTCCTCTCTTAGAATCCTTTGCAGCGCGCCCTGCAGGTCGGAGAGGCGGTGCCGGTGCTCCAGGTAGTCTGTGGAGCGCATGATGGAGTGCATGAGAGAGAGGTATTCCATTCTCAACTGGAAGGAGGAGAAAAAAGAAAGAAAGATCGGAAGGCGAAAGAGAGAGTAAACGTGAGGTCATTAACACAGTCATTATACAGTGGACATTCACTTTCCTGTTCAGGATGATGATGTCATGGCGAGCGTGCCTGCTGGCTGGCCAATGGGAAGATGCGTGGTGTGTGTGTGTGTCAGTGTCACCTTGTCCCCAGGTGAGAGGTCAGAGATGCATCGAACAGCGATATCTATCATCACCATCATGTCCGTGTGGTAGAAGATGTCAGCGGAGTCTCGGCTGGCGAAGACATCCTGCAGGAACTTAAGAACTGAGTGTGGGGCAGGGGGAGCATGTTTAAAGACACACACAGGGTCATCTGAAGAGGAGAGAAAGACCAAGTAAGAGAGAGATAAAAGGAAAAAGGAGAATGTAAAAACAGAAAACAAATGGCAAAGGACAGAGTGGGTTGGGGAAAAGAATGAATGAATTGAACTGTATTGAATTTAATTGCATTGTTTAAAATACATGTTAACAGGTGTGTGTCACCTCCTCGGTTTAGTAGCAGCACTATTTTCTCAGAAAAGAGCTTCACGTTTTTCTTGATCAAAGTCTGCATTATCACGTTGCTGCTGGGCACTGAGAGAGAAAGAACATATACACCTTAAAATAACATACACTTTACACTACCACAAATACCACGCCTCGAAGATCAAACACACACACAGTTAAAGTAATTCAAAATCTTTCATAAGAGGACTTGGGTCTCCTTTATCACAAAACATAAAGCAGTCCATTCCCCATTCTGACAGTACATTAAAGGGGCACTTTACAATTTCTTAACCTCACATTGATTAAATACAGAATTAACTGGTATGGTGCTGCAGATCATGATGAATATGAGGTTGGAAAGTAGTGAAGTAGCCCTTTAAAGTGGTAATCCACAGTTGAAACAATAACAAAGTGTTTACCCGCCAATGTTTTGGTAAAAAGCTGAGGGATGGGGCTGGAGAAATGTAACCACTCAAATTTATAGACAGATCTATGGATGCAAGGAATGACCATCCATGATATAACAATGATAATTTTAACCATATTTTGAGGCTATACAGTGTTTGTTTACTATTACTTTGTTTACAAACACTGGAGTAAAACAATCTTATACTTTGGGTTCTGATGGGGTACGACAGTTGAACTAAGCTCGAGGCATTTATAAGTTATATTCTTCAAGAATCAAGTCCAAAATGGATGTAGCAACTGCAGATTGCTAAAAGAAAAGGTGTTTGCTGTCTAAAGCCTTTGTCATCTCACCTGTGAGGTGCAGGTTGAAGGCCAGGATGAGGTTGACACAGAGGTCAGGGAGCTGTTCTGTGGGGTCAGAGGGAAGACCCTCCTCTACTACATCTAGAAGGAACTGAACAAAGCTAGCGTTTAAGTGCTCTGTGGAGGGAGGGATGGAGAGAGACAGAGAAAGAAAGAAAGAAAGAAAGAAAGAGAGAGAGAGCGAGAGAAAGAAAAAAGAAGAAAAAATGTCTTAATTCTATCAATCAGTGTATACATTTTGGACTTTTGTTTCTATAGATGTATACATTTGGCATCTAAAGCAATATCGTGGTGATATGTAAGGGGGTTAGGGGATATTGCACATACCATAGTGGTGATAGGGCACATGCTCCCCCATAGAGAAGATCATAGTCAGGACCAAGGCTGTGTAGCACATCTTCTGATGCTCTGGGAAGGGGGGGGGGGGGGGGGGGGGGGGGACACAGACACAAACACATTAATGAAAGAGATATAGAGGGGCACAGATATGCTACATAATAGAGACTAAATCAGAAATACTTGAGGAAGGACACAGAGGTCCCAAAGAGAAAGAAGAAGAGAAAGAAAGAGATGCCAGAGGAATAGATAGATACAGTAGAGAGAGAGAGAGAGAGAGAGAGAGAGAGAGAGAGAGAGAGAGAGAGAGAGAGAGAGAGAGGACAAGGAAGAGCGAGAGACGGGCAGATGGAGCGTGAGAGAGAGATTGAGAGAGAAAGACAGAGGAAGAAAGAGAGAAAGAAAGAAAGGGAGAGAGAGAGGAGGCCTCCTCACCCTGTGTGTCTGTCTGCAGGTCTCTGGCCAGCTCCATGGGCAGGATGGAGTTGAGGAGGGTTGAGATAAGGGCAGAGTCCAGGCTACACATCGCCCCAAACACCTTGAGCAACAGCAAGCGTAGAGACACTCGGTGCTCCTGCACAGTGACACAGGAAGTAACACACAGTTACACATTGCTTACAACATGCCAGTGAGACATCACTCATCTATGATAATAAAGTACATTCATAGCACCAACAACACATTTAACAATAGTGCGGTCCTCTTGGGTGGGCAACAGCATAACAGTAGCAACGGTGTGGGAGTAAGTGACATGTAGAATCTCTTACCATCTGATAATAAGACACTAGTGACAACACTGGCTCAGCGTGGTTGACCCTGCACATCCTCTTACACACCTCTGGATCAGCATCCGTCTGGGGACACAAACACACACTCTCTTCCTTAGATTCAACAGTTACGAAAGGTCTCAGTGGTATTCTCACATTAAACCCCAAAAGGTAATCAATGAAAGTATTTGGCTTCGTCCCAAGCGGAACCCTATTCCCTATATAGTGCACTATATAGGAAGTAGGGCGCCATTTTGGGCACATCCATTATCCAGGTGTCAGTCCTGAGTCAAGTGTCCCCGAGTTCACGCGTCTCACCAGTATCTTCAGCAGCTCCTCCAGGTAACATGCGATGAGGGAGTGGTCTTCGTAAAGGGCCCAGCTGCGCTGCTGAGAGTCATCAACGTGACGGGCAAGGTCGCCTAAGATGACCTCCAGGCGCTGTTCATCGTGACACACTTGTCCCTGTGGCAATGCAGAACTCTGATCCTACAGGGAGAGGTCAGGGGTATTATGGGGTATGTTATGTGCACATGGAATCTGTTTGACCTGACAAAGATCCACATCAGACCGAAACATTGTCACAATTATAGTTGGTATAAAGAGCATTGTAGTTTGCAGGCTTTCCGGTTTCTTTGTGTAGTTTCTCGTCAGGTGCGGATGTATAATGTGCGCATATGACAACGTCACTTTCTAGAGCAGGGATCATCAACTAGATTCAGCCGCGGGCCGATGTTTTCTTGAGTGGATGGTCAGGGGGCCGGTACATAATTACAATTAATTTGTAGACTGCAAATTGACCACAAGAAGCCCAAACAGATATAATATTTGATACAACAGTAGCTAAGATGGGGAGACGTCTGTCCATAATAAAGCGCTGCTCTGCCTTCTTAACAACACTATCAACAAGGCAGGTCCTACAGGCCCTAGTTTTGTCGCACCTGGACTACTGTTCAGTCATGTGGTCAGGTGCCACAAAGAGGGACCTGGGGAAATTAAAATTGGCTCAGAACAGGGCAGCATGGCTGGTCCTTAAATGTACAAGGAGAGCTAACATTAATAATATGCATGTAAATCTCTCATGGCTCAAAGTGGAGGAGAGATTGACTTCATCACTACTTGTTTTTGTAAGAAGTGTTGACATGCTGAATGCACCGAGCTGTCTGTTTTGAACTACTGGCACACAGCTCGGACACCCATGCCTACCCCACAAAACATGTCACCAGAGGTTTCTTCACAATCCCCAAGTCAAGAACAGACTATGGGAGGTCGCACAGTACTACATAGAGCTATGGCTACATGGAACTCTAGTCCACATCAGGTAACTGATGCAAGCAGTAGAATCAGATAGAAAAAACCTGATAAAAATACACCTTATGGAACAGTGGGGACTGTGAAGAGACACACACACAGGCACAGACACACATACACATGTGTGGTCCTCTGTAGCTCAATTGGTAGAGCATGGCGCTTGTAACGCCAGGGTAGTGGGTTCGATCCCCGGGACCACCCATACGTAAAAATGTATGCACACATGACTGTAAGTCGCTTTGGATAAAAGCGTCTGCTAAATGGCATATTATACACATGATAAGACACGCACTATACACACACATACACTTGGATTTTGTATTGTAGACATGTGATAGTAGAGTAGTGGCATGAGGGCACACACTTAAAGTGTTATGAAATGTCATGTCATGTAATATTTTTAATTGTATATAACTGCCTTAATGTTGCTGGACCCCAGGAAGAGTAGCTGCTGCCTTGGCAAGTTAGTTGACATCCTACAACTACACGGTTACGTGACTGACCTTGCTCTCTACCAATGAGAGGAGGACCTTCTCTAAGGCAGAGGAGGCTTGAGGTAGGGTGGTCTGCAGGTGACCCACGACCACACCCACCGCCACGCGAGACAGCTCGTAACTCAGGCCTGTGTTCCTCCTCACTAGCTCGATAAGCTCCGCCCCTGTTGTCCCAGGGACAAGCTCTGAGTGAGTGGGGCTGCCGGGGGAGCTTTCAGCAACAGAGGGCGGGGCAAGAGGCCAGTCGGTTTCTGTTTGGTCCACAGTGCTGGACTGTGGTGGCAGAGTGGGCTGAGTTTGAGATTGGGGGGCATGGCCCTTCTTTGAGGGAACTGATTGGGGAGAGGAGGCAGAGGAGGGCAGGTCGTCTGCAGGAGGGGGTGGGGGCTTCACACGGCTTGGCACTGGGGGCGGGGTGCTGGCAACGCTTGTCAGGCTGACATCAGAGGACACCACCGAGTGGGAGGAGACAGAGTCCAGGGAGGCGGAGTTGACCGAGGGGGACAGGCCAGACCCTGCAGGAGTGGCAGGGCCAGGAGGAGGAATGGAAGACTCTGCTGAGAAAGAGAGAACAAGGAAGCTTGGGAGAGGATAGAGTCAGTGTAGAAGTAAAGTTTCATGTAAATGGAATGAGTAGTATGTGTGTGTGTGTGTGTGTGTGTGTGTGCGCGCGCGCTCGTGCGTGCGTGTGGAGAGAAAATGAGTAGCTGTGCATCTCCATGGTGATGGTGAGACAGTCACCTGGGCGTCGGCTGGCTCTTTGTTTCTCAGGAGGGGGCGGGGTTATGGGTGCTGCACGGCGGGACTGAGGAGGCACCTGCAAGAGATAACAGAGATAACAGAGATAACAGAGATAACAGAGATAACAGAGTAAATATCAGGATATTTATGTGCATGCACTTGTCTCAGGTTCCTCAAAAAATTGACAATGAAGTATTTTTCTTCAGGTGTGTACGAATTCTAGTCTCCAATACCTGGTAAAGCCCTTGAACATTGTCGGTACTCTCTGACAGGGTGCGGCTGATCCCATTGGGTGGTTGAGGGGTGTGGCTGAGGGACAGTTCGCTGGTAGATGAGGGCAGGCCCTGCTTGTGACTGGATGGAGTTGGACTTCGCCTTGACAGGGTCTCCTTCCTGTGATGGATCAACTTCCTGTTCCAGACAGACACAGAGAGAGAGAGACAGTGGCTATGTCTAAAACGGCATTTAATACTACTAAAATAGTGCACCAGGCTATATAATGATGCAGCCTATGAAGATAACTGATCAGAGAGAAACAATGCAGAAGATCCACCAATCAGGAACCTGCAGCATGAGGATTTTACATAACAGTGACCATTCAATATCAGACAACATGAGACTGATTTGCATGCATGGTTGTGTTTGGTATAACAATGGGAGCAGGGCCGTACACAGACCTTTCAGGGGGCAGGTGCTCTAAATGCCTCTGTAACCAAAACAGTTTTGTTTAACGTAGGCCGATTTATTTCTGCAACACACTCTCTCATCACAAACTGTAAGCAAGCTAGTTACAGTGCCTCCTAAAGACATGATTGTAAATGTAAATGATTAACATCGAGAAAAAAAGGGTGGGCTCACATACGGAAAAAACACATGAACTTCACGTGTACACATGTGAAGTGTTCCAAAAATTCATGTTTTTATTTGATCTTATGTGAAGTTAATGTGATAACATGTGACAAATTGCAACTGATCATGACGTTGATGATTGATGTAAATCTGCTAGGTTAGCTAGCTCAATTTATTTTACTCTATCATACTATCCAGGTCTGTGCCCAAACAGTTTGAGCTCCTACTTCTAAAAATCCACCTTTCCAGAAATAAGTCTCTCACTGTTGCCGCTTGCTACAGACCCCCCTCAGCCCCCAGCTGTGCCCTGGACACCATATGTGAATTGATTGCCCACCATCTATCCTCAGAGTTCGTACTGCTTGGTGACCTAAACTGGGATATGCTTAACACCCCGGCCATCCTACAATCCAAACTAGATGCCCTCAATCTCACACAAATTATCAAGGAACCTACCAGGTACAACCCTAAATCCGTAAACATGGGCACCCTCATAGATATCATCCTGACTAACTTACCCTCTAAAAACACCTCCGCTGTCTTCAACCAGGATCTCAGCGATCACTGCCTTATTGCCTGCGTCCGTAACGGGTCCGCGGTCAAAAGACCACCCCTCATCACTGTCAAACGCTCCCTAAAACACTTTAGCAAGCAGGCCTTCCTAATTGACCTGGCCCAGGTATCCTGGATGGATATCGATCTCATTCCGTCAGTAGAGGATGCCTGGTTGTTCTTTAAAAGTGCTTTCCTCTCAATCTTAAATAAGCATGCCCCATTCAAAAAATTCAGAACTAAGAACAGATGTAGCCCCTGGTTCTCCTCAGACTTGACTGCCCTTGACCAGCACAAAAACATCCTGTGGCGTACTGCATTAGCATCGAATAGCCCCCGCGATATGCAACTTGTCAGGGAAGTTAGGAACCAATATACACAAGCAGTTAGGAAAGCAAAGGCTAGCCTTTTCATACAGAAATGTGCATCCTATAGCACTAACTAAGTTTTAGGACACTGTAAAGTCCATGGAGAATAAGAGCACCTCCTCCCAGCTGCCCACTGCACTGAGGCTAGGAAACACTATCACCACCGATAAATCTACAATAATCAAGAATTTCAACAAGCATTTTGCACAGCTGGCCATGCTACCACTACCCCGGCCACCAGCTCTGCACCCTCCGCTGCAACTTGCCCATGTCCCCCCCGCTTCTCCTTCACACAAATTCAGACAGCTGATTGAAAGAGCTGCAAAATCTGGACCCCTACAAATCATCTGGGCTAGACAATCTGGACCCTTTCTTTCTAAAATTAGCAGCCGAAATTGTCGCAACCCCTATTATTAGCCTGTTCAACCTCTCTTTCGTAACGTCTGAGATCCCCAAAGATTGGAAAGCTGCCGCGGTCATCCCCCTCTTCAAAGTGGGTGACACTCTAGGTCCAAACTGTTACAGACCTATATCCATCCTTCCCTGCCTTTCGAAAGTTTTTGAAAGCCAAGTTAACAAACAGATCACCGACCATTTCGAATCCCACCGTACCTTCTCCGCTATGCAATCCGGTTTCCGAGCTGGTCATGGGTGCACCTCAGCCACGCTCAAGGTCCTAAATTATAATATAACCGCAATCGATAATAGACAGTACTGTGCAGCCGTCTTCATCGACCTGGCCAAGGCTTTCGACTCTGTCAACCACCGCATTCTTATTGGCAGACTAAATAGCCTTGGTTTCTCAAATGACTGCCTCGCCTGGTTCACCAACTACTTCTCAAATAGAGTTCAATGTGTCAAATCGGAGGGCCTGTTGTCTGGACCTATGGCAGTCTCTATGGGGGTGCCACAGGGTTCAATTCTCAGGCCGACTCTTTTCTCTGTGTATATCAATGATATCGCTCTTGCTGCTGGTGACTCTCAGATCCACCTCTATGCAGACGACACCATTTTGTATACATCTGGCCCTTCATTGGACACTGTGTTAACAAACCTCCAAACGAGCTTCAATGCCATACAACACTCCTTCCGTAGCCTCCAACTGCTCTTAAACACTAGTAAAACTAAATGCATGCTCTTCAATCGAACGCTGCTGGAATCACCCGCCCACCCGACAAGAATCACTACTCTCGACGGGTCTGACCTAGAGTATGTGGACAACTACAAATATCTAGGTGTCTGGTTAGACTGTAAACTATCCTTCCAGACTCACATTAAGCATCTCCAATCCAAAGTTAGATCTAGAATCGGCTTCCTATTTCGCAACAAAGCCTCTTTCACTCATGCTGCCAAACATGCCCTCGTTAAACGGACTATCCTACCGATCCTTGACTTCGGCGATGTCATTTACAAAATAGCCTCCAACACTCTACTCAGCAAATTGGATGTAGTCTATCACAGTGCCATCTGTTTTGTCACCAAAGCCCCATATACTACCCACCACTGTGACCTGTACGCTCTTGTTGGCTGGTCCTCAATACATATTCGTCGCCAAACCCACTGGCTCCAGGTCATCTATAAATCACTGCTAGGCAAATCCCCGCCTTATCTTAGCTCATTGGTCACCAAAGCAACACCCACCCGTAGTATGCACTCCAGCAGGTATATCTCACTGGTCATCCCCAAAGCCAACACCTCCTTTGGCCGCCATTCCTTCCAGTTCTCTGCTGCCAATGACTGGAACGAACTGCAAAAATCTCTGAAGCTGGAGACTCTTATCTCCCTCACTAACTTTAAGCATCAGTTGTCAGAGCACCTTACTGATCACTGCACCTGTACACAGCCCATCTGAAATTAGCCCACCCAACTACCTCATCCCCATATTGTTATTTATTTTGCTCATTTGCACCGCAGTATCTCTATTTGCATATCATCTCTTGCACATCTATCATTCCAGTGTTAATACTAAATTGTAATTATTTTGCACTATGGCCTATTTATTGCCTTACCTCCATAACTTGCTACATTTGCACACACTGTATATATATAAAAAAAAAATTATGTTGTATTTTTGATTTTATGTTTTGTTTACCCCATATGTAACTCTGTTGTTTTTTATCGCACTGCTTTGCTTTATCTTGGCCAGGTCGCAGTTGTAAATGAGAACTTGTTCTCAACTGGCTTACCTGGTTAAATAAAGGTGAAATAAATTAATTAATTTAAAATTACTGATTGTGATTTACCTCTGGGTAGTTCCACCTCAAAAAGAACAAGAAAGAGATTTCGGCACCCACCATCTCAGATTGTTCTGACATAATTTCTGTAGTTAGAAACAGATAAGATTAGAATTCCTGCAACATTATTTTGGTGAAATATATTTTGATCTCTAAAAAAATTAAGCTAACTGATTGCACCCAAATTGGCCCTTTCATTTATAGGATTAATATAATATTTAATAAATATAGTACCTAATATCCGATTTGGACAAAACGTCTTCCTAACAATGAGTAAGACATGAGGAATTCAAAAAAATTGCCAAAAGCCACCCACGGACCCACCACACCCTACCCCAACGGCAAGTGGCACAGTGCTAGCTGTGCCACTAGAGATCCCGGTTCGAATCCAGGCTCTGTCGTAGCCGGCCGCGACCGGGAGACCCATGGGGCGGCGCACAATTGGCCCAGCGTCGTCCAGGGTAGGGGAGGGAATGGCCGGCAGGGATTACATTTACATTTTAGTCATTTAGCAGACGCTCTTATCCAGAGTGACTTACAGTTAGTGAGTGCATACATTTTCATACTGGATGTAGCTCAGTTGGTAGAGCAAGGCGTTTGCAACGCCAGGGTTGTGGGTTCGATTACCACGGGGGGCCAGTATGAAAAAAATATAAATAATGTATGCACTCACTAACTGTAAGTCGCTCTGGATAAGAGCGTTTGCTAAATGACTAAAAATAAAATGTAAAAACGTTTTAAAAATAATAAATAAAATAAAGTATACAGTATACAGTGAGGGAAAAAAGTATTTGATCCCCTGCTGATTTTGTACGTTTGCCCACTGACAAATAAATTATCAGTCTATAATTTTAATGGTAGGTTTATTTGAACAGTGAGAGACAGAATAACAACATCAAAATCCAGAAAAACGCATGTCAAAAATGTTATAAATTGATTTGCATTTTAATGAGGGAAATAAGTATTTGACCCCCTCTCAATCAGAAAGATTTCTGGCTCCCAGGTGTCTTTTATACAGGTAACGAGCTGAGATTAGGAGCACACTCTTAAAGGGAGTGCTCCTAATCTCAGTTTGTTACCTGTATAAAAGATACCTGTCCACAGAAGCAATCAATCAATCAGATTCCAAACTCTCCACCATGGCCAAGACCAAAGAGCTTTCCAAGGATGTCAGGGACAAGATTGTAGACCTATACAAGGCTGGAATGGGCTACAAGACCATCGCCAAGCAGCTTGGTGAGAAGGTGACAACAGTTGGTGCGATTATTCGCAATAACAGTCAATCTCCCTCGGCCTGGGGCTCCATGCAAGATCTCACCTCGTGGAGTTGCAATGATCATGAGAACGGTGAGGAATCAGCCCAGAACTACACGGAAGGATCTTGTCAATGATCTCAAGGCAGCTGGGACCATAGTCACCAAGAAAACAATTGGTAACACTCTACGCCGTGAAGGACTGAAATCCTGCTGCGCCCGCAAGGTCCCCCTGCTCAAGAAAGCACATATACAGGCCCGTCTGAAGTTTGCCAATGAACATCTGAATGATTCAGAGGAGAACTGGGTGAAAGTATTGTGGTCAGATGAGACCAAAATCGAGCTCTTTGGCATCAACTCAACTCACCGTGTTTGGAGGAGGAGGAATGTTGCCTATGACCCCAAGAACACCATCCCCACTGTCAAACATGGAGGTGGAAACATTATGCTTTGGGGGTGTTTTTCTGCTAAGGGGACAGGACAATTTCACCGCATCAAAGGGACGATGGACGGCGCCATGTATCATCAAATCTTGGGTGAGAACCTCCTTCCCTCAGCCAGGGCATTGAAAATGGGTCGTGGATGGGTATTCCAGCATGACAATTACCCAAAACACATGGCCAGGGCAACAAAGGAGTGGCTCAAGAAGAAGCACATTAAGGTCCTGGAGTGGCCTAGCCAGTCTCCAGACCTTAATCCCATAGAAAATCTGTGGAGGGAGCTGAAGGTTCGAGTTGCCAAACGTCAGGCTCGAAACCTTAATGACTTGGAGAAGATCTGCAAAGAGGAGTGGGACAAAATCCCTCCTGAGATGTGTGCAAACCTGGTGGCCAACTACAAGAAACGTCTGACCTCTGTGATTGCCAACAAGGGCTTTGCCACCAAGTCCTAAGTCGTGTTTTGCAGAGGGGTCAAATACTTATTTCCCTCATTAAAATGCAAATCAATTGATAACATTTTTGACATGCGTTTTTCTGGATTTTTTTTTTGTTATTCTGTCTCTCACTGTTCAAATAAACCTACCATTAAAATTATAGACTGATCATGTCTTTGTCAGTGGGCAAACGTACAAAATCAGCAGGGGATCAAATACTTTTTTCCCTCACTGTAGGTTCTCTAGTATAAAGCTGTGGCATGGTGTATTGTTTATTCATACTACACTGAACAAAAATATAAATGCAACATGTAAAGTGTTTCATGAGCTGAAATAAAAGATCCCTGAAATTTTCCATACGCAGAAAAAAGCTTCTTTCTCTCAAATGTTTTGCACAAATGTGTTTACATCCCTCTTAGTGAGCCATTCTTCTTTGCCAAAATAATCCATCAACCAGACAGGTGTAGCATATCAAGAAGCTGATTAAACAGCATGATCATTACGCAAGTGCACTTTGTGCTGGGGACAATAAAAGGCCACTCTAAAATGTGCAGTTTTGTCACACAACACAATACCGAAGATGTCTCAAGTTTTGAGGGAGCGTGAAATTGGCATGCTGACTGCAGCAATGTCCACCAGAGCTGTTGCCAGAGAATTTTATGTTCATTTCTCTACCATAAGCTGGCTCCAACATTGTTTTAGAGAATTTGGCAGTACGTCCAACCGGCCGTCGTGTGGGCGAGCGGTTTGGACAAACTTAATTGCTTTCATGGAGGACTGGCTTGACTTGTGAGGATGACCACACAATTTATTTTCTACATGAGCAAAAACTATTGGTTTTCTACCCAATGTTGCAAAGAAAATGTTGTGATCCACTTGATAAACACAAGAGACCAGTCAAATTTTTGTAAATGGTGTGGAAAGTAGCAGGAACAGCGGCATCTAGTGTGCAAAACCGTGTACTTTCACACTAATTTATGGGGGGAAATGCAAGCGACTTCATTGGCTGAACAAGGGGGAAAAGATAATCAAATTCACTGAGATTACAAAGTATGAATAAACAAAACTCCAAGCAGCACACTACTTGTCAAACATAGAGAACTGATACTGTATACTGGCCATTGGGTTAGGTTTGGTGTGGGGGTCCGTGGATGGCTTCATTGTTATGAAGAGGTTTGGTCCAAATCGGATGTTGGGTACTATATTTATTGAATATTAAATGAATCCTATCAATTGAAATGTCCAATTTGGGTGCAATAATTAGCTTAGTTCAAATTGTCTTTCAACAAAATAATGTTGCAGGAATGCTTATCTTAACGGTTTCTAACTACAGAAACCATTTCAGAACAATCTGAAATGGTGTCATGGCTTTCTGAAATGACATGAAACGACTCCTCTCTATGTCTTTCTGCCTCACGCTGCTGCATGTATCAGCCAACCAAAACAAATATTGATGATGTAGGCTAAATCAAATGTTATCAACTGTTAATAAAATGTGCTGCTGTGACAGTACTGTTGATATTTAAAACAGGTAGCTAGCTACACATACACACTCGACCGGTGACCGCATCTTTCAAGCCATGCATTTTTGGATACCGGGCGTGCGCATTCTCGTACAGGGCAGACTGGGAAAAATGCACAACAGGGCACGCACAAGCTCCATACAGGGCAGTTTAACAGGCGCAACCAACGGACGGGTGGGGGGCAAACTAGATGATGACTTGCGGGCAGTGGGTTCCGAACAACAATGATCAAATTATTATACAAAAATAAAACATTTTGGGGGAAATTTTACTACCACCCAAAAGGGCACTTTGGAGACTGGAAGGGCAAAGGGGCATGAGCTCTGAATGTGAAAATGTGTGTGTGTGTGTGTATGCATGTTAATGTTGCACTCACTGTAGCACGTCTCGCTGCTCCAGGTTGTATTTGCCCCCGTTCTTCATTGCCACGTTATGGATCTCTTCAATGGCCCTGTCGATAGACTGTAACACTTCATCCTGTTCCGGAGCCTGGGGAACAGAGGAAAGGAGGGCAGAGGGCAGAGAGAGAGAGAGAGAGAGAGAGGGGCAGAGAGAGAGAGAGGGCAGAGAGAGAGAGAGAGGGCAGAGAGAGAGAGAGGGCAGAGAGAGAGAGAGGGCAGAGAGAGAGAGAGGGCAGAGAGAGAGAGGCAGAGAGAGAGAGAGGCAGAGAGAGAGAGAGAGAGAAATATTCATCATCAGCATTAGTTATTATGAAACTGGAAACAAAAACAAACAAAACATTTGGCTGGAGGGCAAAATGGGACTCCGGGCGGAAAAATCTAGGACATCACAGTTATCTAACCAAAATCAAACCCTCTGAACAAGAACATACAGTACCAGTCTAAAGTTTGGACACCTACTCATTCAAGGGTTTTCTTTATTTTTTACTATTTTCTACATTGTAGAATAATAGTGAAGACATCAACACTATGAAATAATACATATGGAATCATGTAGTAACCAAAAAAGTGTTAAATAAATCAAAATATATTTTAGATTTTAGATTCTTCAAAGTAGCCACCCTTTGCCTTGATGACAGCTTTGCACACTCTTGGCATTCTCTAATGAGGTGGTCAACTGGAATGCATTTCAATTAACAGGTGTGCCTTCTTAAAAGTTAATTTGTGGAATTTATTTCCTTCTTAATGCGTTTGAGCCAATCAGTTGTGTTGTGACAAGGTAGGGGTGGTATACAGAAGATAAACCTATTTGGTAAAAGACCAAGTATTATGGCAAGAACAGCTCAAATGAGCAAAGAGAAACAACAGTCCATCATTACTTTAAGACAAGAAGGTCAGTCAATATGGAACATTTCAAGAACTTTGAAAGTTTCTTCAAGTGCAGTCGCCAAAACCATCACTATGATGAAACTGGCTCTCATGAGGACCGCCACAGGAATGGAAGACTCAGAGTTACCTCTGCTGCAGAGGATAAGTTCATTAGAGTTACCAGCCTCAGAAATTGCAGCCCAAATATATGCTTCACATACTTCAAGTAACAGACACATCTCAACATCAACTGTTCAGAGGAGACTGTGTGAATCAGGCCTTCATGGTCGAATTGCTGCAAAGAAACCACTACTAAAGGACACCAATAAGAAGAAGAGACTTGCTTGGGCCAAGAAACACGAGCAATGGACATTAGACCGGTGGAAAGTTGTCCTTTGGTCTGGAGTCCAAATTGGAGATTTTCGGTTCCAACCACCGTGGTTTTGTGAGATGCGGTGTGGGTGAACGGATGATCTCCGCATGTGTATTTCCCATCGTAAAGCATGGAGGAGGAGGTGTTATGGTGTGGGGGTGTTTTGCTGGTGACACTGTCTGTGATTTATTTAGAATTCAAGGCACACTTAAGCAGCATGGCTACCACAGCATTCTGCAGTGATACGCCATCCCATCTGGATTGGGTTTGGTGGGACTATCATTTGTTTTTCAACAGGACAATGACCCAACACACCTCCAGGCTGTGTAAGGGCTATTTTACCAAGAAGGAGAGTGATGGAGTGCTGCATCAGATGACCTGGCCTCCACAATCCCCCGACCTCCACCCAATTGAGATGGTTTGGGATGAGTCGGACCGCAGAGTGAAGGAAAAGCAGCCAACAAGTGCTCAGGATATGTGGGAACTCCTTCAAGACTGTTGGAAAAGCATTCCTCATGAAGCTGGTTGAGAGAATGCCAAAAGTGTGCAAAGCTGTCATCAAGGCAAAGGGTGGCTATTTGAATAATCTCAAATATAAAATATATTTTGATTTGTTTAACACTTTTTTGGTTACTACATAATTCCATATGTGTTATTTCATAGTTTTGATGTAGAAAAAAGAAAAAATAAAGAAAAACCCTTGAATGAGTAGGTGTGTCCAAACTTTTGACTGGTATTGTACCAACTAACGCAGTCCAGATACAGACTCAGACATCCCCGCTGACCTGACCTACACGGCCCAGGCAGGGACACACTCGACAGACACAGCAAATCCTGCTGCACAACCTGGAATCCACACTGAATATCGCTCTGTTTCAGCATGGTTTCATTTGACTGATTAGTCAGATGAAATTTCAGCAAAACACACTCAGAAACAAGCAGTTCACACTGAGAACTCATTGAGCATCCAGCTGTGTAGCTATGACATCATATGGGATGCTAGCCCTTGATCATGACTCTCAGTTCCATTACATTACACATAAGAGTAATTGGACTAAGGTGGAGGAAGGTGTCTTGTGAAGTTTTTTTTTTTAAAGAGCCCTGGCGCTAGGTTTGAACATTAACACACATCGCTTGCTGTACGGTTTTGGAAGCATAAGGACCTTCCCTTTCATATCGGCGAGATTTTTTTTCTCCAAAAACAAAAGGTTACATTGATACACACCTTTATAGGGTTAGTGTTCCCACACGGCCATATATCCATGTTACAGCGCCTGTTTACCGAAGACAGAGGGACCACCTGTGCTAATTAGCTATCAAGCATGCTCCGAATTCCTGTGTGTAATGGAAGAAGGCCGACAGAAACGTGTTGTCACTGAAAAATACTGTTGGCTGCAACTGTGATAAAGCTGGTACAGTAACTGTATATTTATGAAATGTGTGAAATTATTTTGATGTGATATGAAAGTACAGGGCTTTATGTTTCTAGAACCATACTGCAATTGAGAATCGATTCACGTTTAGATGGAGTATTTGGCTAAGTAATGTAAAAAGGGTTGGTTATGTTTCCACTTGCCTCTAAAGAAATGTGTATTTAATGTTCAAACATTCTTATTGGTTGGTTCAACTCTGATGACAATAAGGCGTGTTGTGATTGGCCCCGCTTGCAGCTAGGGGGCGATCGCGAACGTCAGGTCTTCCCAGTATGAAAATGTGATGCAAGGGGTAGGTCATGTTCTGAATACTGTTTTATATTTTACAATGTGTACAAGGTTGCTGTACGTTACTGATTTATACATGTGTGGGTACAGTGGGGGAAAAAAAGTATTTAGTCAGCCACCAATTGTGCAAGTTCTCCCACTTAAAAAGATGAGAGAGGCCTGTAATTTGTATCATAGGTACACATCAACTATGACAGACAAATTGAGAAAAAGAAATCCAGAAAATCACATTGTAGGATTTTTAATGAATTTATTTGCAAATTATGGTGGAAAATAAGTATTTGGTCACCTACAAACAAGCAAGATTTCTGGCTCTCACAGACCTGTAACTTCTTCTTTAAGAGGCTCCTCTGTCCTCCACTCGTTACCTGTATTAATGGCACCTGTTTGAACTTGTTATCAGTATAAAAGACACCTGTCCACAACCTCAAACAGTCACACTCCAAACACCACTATGGCCAAGATCAAAGAGCTGTCAAAGGACACCAGAAACAAAATTGTAGACCTGCACCAGGCTGGGAAGACTGAATTTGCAATAGGTAAGCAGCCTGGTTTGAAGAAATCAACTGTGGGAGCAATTATTAGGAAATGGAAGACATACAAGACCACTGATAATCTCCCTCGATCTGGGGCTCCACGCAAGATCTCACCCCGTGGGGTCAAAATGATCACAAGAACGGTGAGCAAAAATCCCAGAACCACATGGGGGGACCTAGTGAATGACCTGCAGAGAGCTGGGACCAAAGTAACAAAGCCTACCATCAGTAACACACTACGCCGCCAGGGACTCAAATCCTGGAGTGCGAGACGTGTCCCCCTGCTTAAGCCAGTACATGTCCAGGCCCATCTGAAGTTTGCTAGAGTGCATTTGGATGATCCAGAAGAGGATTGGGAGAATGTCATATGGTCAGATGAAACCAAAATATAACTTTTTGGTAAAAACTCAACTCGTTGTGTTTGGAGGACAAAGAATGCTGAGTTGCATCCAAATAACACCATACCTACTGTGAAGCATGGGGGTGGAAACATCATGCTTTGGGGCTGTTTTTCTGCAAAGGGACCAGGACGACTGATCCGTGTAAAGGAAAGAATGAATGGGGCCATGTATCGTAAGATTTTGAGTGAAAACCTCCTTCCATCAGCAAGGGCAATGATCCCAAACACACCGCCCGGGCAACGAAGGAGTGGCTTCGTAAGAAGCATTTCAAGGTCCTGGAGGTCCTTAAGAGTACATCTCCGGCTAAAGGATGCATGCATGAATCTGTGAAGCTGTCTTCTGTCACAAACTAAGCATAGCTCTAACTCAGGGGTTCCCAAACGTTTTCACTCGTGGCCCCCCCCTTCCAGCATTTGGGAACATTTCGCGCCCCACCTGTGCGCGTACGTGCCCCGTTTTATGGGCACAAGCACTGATCATGACACAAACTGTTCACACCTCTTGTTGGTGGAGAGAATTTTGCAGGTTTAAAGCTTATTCCTGCAAGTCTACACATTCTGTCATGGGGAGCAAAGAAAATGTTGAAGTTTTAAAGCTAAATCACTGGCAATTCTATACATTCTGCCACGTCTAATGTGTACTCTTGTGATATTGGTGACTACAAAATTACAACAATATATATGGGTTAAAAAACGTAAATAAAAAAACCCTTAGCTGACATGGGCTAGTTGATCTGGACGTTTCTGACAAGTTATAAATAGCTCTCTAGGGTATGCAATGACTAACATGACAAGAGGGACTGATGATGCAAAACTCAATTTCGAAATTGCACCTTGCACATTCTACTATTACAACTTTCAAGAGTAAGCTTAAAGCCGGACTGAGTTCCTAGAATAAAATAAAAGTAGTTCTTTTGGGAACCACTGTTCTAACTGACCTAGATTTGACACAGTTAATTCCCTATCTCCATAGAAAGCATAAGACATTTGATTACAGTTGTATTTGTGTTATGTCATGTGATTAAAAGCAATGTATCATATGTACTGTACTTGCTATAATCTCATATCAGTCACGAGATCTGAAATGCGCGTGACACACATGACAGATGCGGCGCCACATTTTTCATGCATTTTTGGCTTATGACGCAACGACCACTGCGGCGCAAACACAGCTGGCATTGCGAACTTGCCAAGCCCCTCTGAGCCTCTCTCATTCTCTCTCATTAACCCATTTGAAACATTTTGGTTTATTCTGTAAACATACTTTTGTTTACATGTAAACGTTAGCATAGTGCATTGAATATGGAAAATACTGTTGAATGCAGCAAAAAGTATAGTATGAGAAACAACTGAGGCACAGGCAATGCAGTAGAGCAAAATGCTCTGTCTCATGTCTCCCATTCAGGGAGGACTGTCACATGAAAGTCACAAAAGTAACTGAAATCAGGTCTATTGGAATGCACGCACCAATGGACCTAGCCTCCTCGTTCAATTCTCTGTGGTCCACTCTTCTATCATGCTAAAAAGCTAGCATGGAGGACCTGCTTGTCAAAATCCATGTTAAACCTACCTGAATCCTTTCGATGTAAGAAGCAGGAACGTAGCCGGTTTCGCCCGAACTGCAGCGCGAGCCGAGCCACCAGTGTTTGTTGCTGCGTTCCAGGATCAGAAAGCCCTCCCCGGCCCCGAAGTGGAGCGAGTTGGGCTCCGCGGATCGGAAAGCATACAGAGACCGATACATAGCTTCCTCTGTTTTAAATCCCTTGTAATTCCTAAAAACACCGATATTACTGTTTCAGCAAATACACAATGAGCTAGTTCAGTAAATAACTGATGTACCCAGTCTAAGGTAATTTTAAATAGATATTTACGACTTCGCGAATGATTCTCCTGCTTTCTATTTACATTGTAAAATCCAATTTGCGCCTTGAGCGTGTCTTGCTTGTCCAGTAAACATAGTAGGGGGCGCGCACGCACGCAGAACAACACACGAGCGGGCACGCACCTTTGGTATTCAGGCGAATTCATCAAGCTGTTGAAGGAGGCTTCTCCTTGTCGTTTTTTGTTGTTGTTTCGCAATATAAATCCAACGTATGCAAGCTTGCTTCACATGTGTATCAGATATAGGGCCATAATTATGACTGTCCATCCTATCATGTTCCATTGTTGGACATGATTGTGAACTATTTCCAGATTGGAAATACAAACTTTTTTATGTGCTTTATTATGGATATATATATTTTTTACCACATGCAAGTAATTCTCCTCCTCTGCCACTGATACAATTAATCACTGATTTCTACAATGTATGTACACAAGACCCGTGTCCATAATAAAATAACCGGATGTACCCAAACGGAAGTACCAAACGTTGTGCTACACAAAATTTGTTCCCACCCCGGTTTTAATGTATTTGGTTCCCATCGGCATTGGGTACTTAACTGTCAACAACATGGCTGTCTCGATGTGTGCACGACTGTTTCTCCAGAGATCTTCACAGGGTCTTCGGCTCAACCCTCTGACATCCCCCGCGTTCACAAGGTACAGTACTGCTGACTGCTCAGAAACGAGACATCTAGAGAATAGAAACGACAATGTTTTAGTGCTAACTGTTACACAATTGACATCTCTACCCCCTGCCTGGCTACTTAGCTAATGTTAGCTTTTGGTAGATGCTGGTGTCAAAGCTTGCTACTTGAGATACATCCCAGGCAGAGTATACCAATTCTATGGTTATTACATCTTGCTAGGTACAGAGAGCCACATTTCATAATACAGAGAGCCCCGTTTCATAAAATCTGATGAAAATGGCTATGGCATCCCAATGCATGTTTGAAGGTAAAGTCAACCCCAATATCAAAGTTTGTCAGATGTTTTTAGACTTCAAATCTAGTTATGATGTCCCTATCCCACGTCATCCAGATGTAGCCACTAGCCAGGTAATGGTACAGTATGTGATGGAAAAGTAACTTAATGTCTCTCCTTCTCCTCCAGCCCCTTTCTATCTCGCGCCCACAGGCTTGGGCCCAGTGATGATGAGATGTACCAGCGTACCACAGTGTCCATCATGCAAAAAGAACCAGGAGCTGGAGCAATGATCCACAGCTACAGCCCCAGAGGGTTCAACATCGATGGGAACCGTGTTTTCGGGCCATGTGCCCTGCTACCTCCAGCCATCCTCCAATGGAATGTAGGAAAGAGTTTTAGTTTGACCTTTCCTCTAATCCCCACAGGAAGTAAACCTTTATGATGGTTCTATTTTTTTCATCTCTCTTCAGCTTTAGTTTACATGCTCCCTGTAATACTGTTGAGTGCTGTGTGAGAGTGAGATATTTAACTGGCTAAATTAGGAGTGATGATGAGTAGAATATGAGATGTAACAGTGTAGAATGTTGATTGTGCTTTTGGCTTCTCATCTGTCGCCCCCTGCAGGTAGGCAGCTATAAAGACATCACTGTAGAGAGCATGGCCCTTTTCCACATGCTGGAACCTCGAATTGGTGAGACAAAATTCAATTATACTTTAGTCACGCTGACACAAATTATGAGGATAGACAAAAAGTCAGATACTCTAATTTATGAATGCACAAACTTATGCAAGATTCTGTTAGGTTCTAAGTTCTGGTACAAATCCAGTCGGACACCAGAGGAAGCTCAGACTAGATATATTCCACCCAAACTGGAGGCTACAGCTGCATAGCACCCATACAATTTACACAATCATATATTTATACCTTCCGATTAGGCGGAGCCACCTCCTTGTATTTCTATCAGTCTCTGTTGCCAAGCAACAACTGAGTGATCCTCCTATTGGTGTTATGAGTCCAGAACCTCGTGTGTGTGCGCGTGTGTGAGCGATAAGACTCCAGTTGGAGTGTTGTTGGGATGGTCCCCTCTACCCTCTTAAATAGTTGCCAGTTCATATTTGATCTTCAGAGCTTGACTATGATGATGTACAGTGTTATCACCTGAACAGCTTAATGATTGTATATTCTCATGATGTCTCTCTTGAATGCTTTGTATCCATAGAGGTTCTGGTCCTGGGCACAGGGGGTCGGTCAGAGCGGATTGACCCCAAAGTCCTGGCCCTCCTCAAGAGCAAAGGCATCGCTGTGGAGGTGCAGGACACGGTAGGGACACCTGACCTCATCTGGCATCTGTCTACAGCAGAAGGATTAGGGTTGTGTAATAGATTTCAGTACATTAGCATTTATAGACCGGTTTACCCAAGCCTGGTTCAGAATGTCCTCTTGAGATTTCTCTCATATCAAGTTACTGTGTGCCACCACCTGGAAAGTAGCTCTCCATCCATACACAGACATGGGCAGCCCCTGCCTATAGAATAAGGTGTAGGACAGTTATAATTTGCATTTTTCCTCTCTCTCTCTGACACTCATCCCTTTACCTTCCTCAGCCAAACGCTTGTGCAACCTTTAACTTCCTGAGCAGTGAACGGCGAGTGGTGGCAGCAGGTCTGATTCCTCCTCCAATCAGCACGGAGCTGGAGTAGCAACAACAGAAGGAGGTCTTGATTGGACTTGATGGAAAAAAGGAACTATTTTCACCACTTGGATGGATGATCTGGATAAATCTGTCCTCATTCAAGGGCTGAGTTATGTTTTTTAGCCATTGCAAACTGGGTGGATTTCTGGCATTTCCCCATATAAATGTGGTGTGTGTGTGTTGGGGGGGGGGGGTATGAAATGTGTAAATGAAAAAGAGAACAGGAGTGTGTTGGCATTGATGTATTTCTGACGAGTATTGAAGGATATGATTTGGTGGGAGTGTTATTTAGTGTGTCATATCTGTATAAGGATAAATACATGCTACCAATGAAGCAATACACAATATATAAAATTACAAATACAATGTTTTGTATTTATTTAATTGTCAGTGAAAGCATATGGGAGTATGTGCATTGTGTATGTAATCTACCCAAGGTGACTGTCCTTCACTGGGATTAGTAAACCTCTCTAATCTCATTGTCTGTCCGTTTTGTCTTCCACCCCCATCTCTCTGAACCACGCTTTATCTGTCTCAGAATAGAACATAATACAATATGTAACGCAACTCCAGTGGCTTTGTCCTTCTCGGAGTTAATCTGTAGGATAAGGCTATCCCTAATCGCTCTGATACATTTAGAATCATCCATCCAGTTCAACTTCACCACACAAACACATGGCCATTCATTCATTCACACTCGAGCACACACTAAACACTGAATCTCAGGCCACATTTTTACATTTACCACAGTCAAATAAAGTGTGGTGTTTATTAGACAGGGTATTAAATCAACTGAAAGTTATTTAGCGTACCACTCTCCAGTCTCAATGCCATCAGAGTACGAGAGCATCTACCACATGATAAAGCACATGATAAATAGGACCGATACAGTGACTGATACAGTAGCTGTGAAGCTGGGCATTCTGGGAGATATGAGGTGAATCTATGGGTTGCTTTAAAAAACACAGAAAACAAGGACATCATAGACAACCACAATATAATAGTAATGTCATATTTGCCATTTAGCAGACACTGTTATCCATGAGTGTGCATACATTTTTGTATGGGTGGCCCGCCCTAGAGAAACTAGAACCCAAGATTCTGGTGTTGCAAGGACCATGCTCTATCAACTGAGCCACACAAGACAAAAATGGTAGCAACTCCACTTAGTGTCGCTTAGTCATCATCATCATCATCACCACCACCACTACTACTACAGTTTCTGCGTAAGTCACCAAAGATGAATTCTGATCCTGTGATGCGGCGATACACATCCTTGATGTCCTCACACTCAGTCTCAAAGTGTGTCGTGGCATCATAGGAGCGAGACACAAAGATCTGAAAAAGGGAGATAGGATCACAATGAACAAAACTGGAGACTCCACAATGTATAATCCTGGTACAACCCAATGGCCAAGAAATATGAATACATGTATATATATTACAGTGAATTCAGTGGGTAGCCTCAACTGGAACTTGAACCCAGATCCAGTGCCTGTAATCCCAACACCTTAGCCATTACACCAAGTGATCTGAACATCTCGGTGAGGTCGTTAGTTGTGAGGTTAACGGTGCAACAATATATTGAAGGTCTTGACCCTTACCTGACTGTTCCTTCCATCATCAATGGGGACCATCATGTTGCTGATAGAAACAAATCTGTAGATCAATCACATTCAGTCTTTAGTTAACTTTTTTTGTATGTATGAAATTAGCCTTGCATCATTACAATATACATATGGCTCTGGATGCAACAGTCTGCAGTAGGTTGTGTGGAACTTACTTCTGCTGAATAGGCTCTAGAAGTTCTAACCCAGGCTGCACCTCCTTCTCTGGGTTACTGGTCTCTACAGTGGTGCTCACCATAGCGATATACATCCCCTCTGATGCCACGTTGTGGGCGTAGGACACCATACATACGTAGATGTCTGAAAAACAAAGAGGGTCACGTTATGATTCATCCCAAGGCTAAAATATTGCAATCATATTTAACCTGTTTGGTACATGGGGTCGTAGGCCTTTGTCTAACTTCTTGTGTATATCTGGTCTATCTGTGATGTCATACCTGATTTCCTGTGGACTTGTGTTTGAGGGATAATGATTTGACAGGAGTTGGCATCGTGGGTGTTTTTGATTGGATGATTCAGTAAACAGATGACCCGTATGACCCGGCCCACCTTCTTCACCCTGTTGGGCACGTAGCTGGGGTCACAGATCAGCTGTTTACAGCGGAACAGCTTCGCAAAGAGGAAGTGAAAGAAGATAGAAAGATTAGGTCCAACTACTAATTTACTACACTGATATTCAGCCCATGTTCCTGTTCATGCTCTATCATTTCTCATTCATTAATTAATTCCCTCTTCAACTCTCTCGCTCTCTCTTCTCTACTCTCTACTTCACCAGCCACTCACCGCTCCCTCAGATTTCACTGCTACCACTTTGCCCTTGTCCATCACAATCTCCTCCACTCCTCTGTTTAACATGTAGGACCCTCCATGCACTGCACTTAACCTGAGACACACAGGAATAGTAAGGGTTTACGTTGCGGCCATGTACAATACCATTAAAAAAACGTGAAGTTAATGTATTTATGCATTCTTGAGTGCCTTTATGAGTGTGTTTGTGTTACCTGGCAAAGCCCTGGGGTAGTTCCCCTAGCCCATACAGTGGATAGAGGTAGGGACTAAAGTTATACCGAGCCATAGACTCAGAATACAGCTTGATCCGTCTGATGGTCTGGATGCACGGCTGGTCCAAGTAACTGTGGAGGCAGGGACACAACCATTGAGATAGGTGTGTGTGTGTGTGTGTGTGTGTGTGTGTCTGCCTGTCTTTCTGACTGTCTGTGTAATATTTGTACTGACTCGTCACTGCGGTACAGGGCCAGGGCATGGCCAGTGAACTCCATGATGTCTGGTCCCAGGTCGAAGTGGCGGAACAGCTCCCTCATGCTGGTCCTGTTGGGGTCCATGTCCTGGTAGGTCCGCGGGTCTCTCTCCTCAAAGTTCAGGATGAACAGAAGAAGCTTCCTGAACCTGCGCTTGTCAAACATCCCCATCAGATCTGAAACACACACCATGTTACATCCACAGTTTGAGACTTTGAATGATTGTATGTATATGAAATCAAGTTAATCCATTTGTCATGTCCATGGATTTCAGTTGGCTTTGACTGTTATGTGGCAATCCTTTGTTTAGAATCAATGATTCGGAAACAAGGGATTTGTAAGTTACAAATATTGTTTATTTTGATGGGTGTGCATTACCTGAAGCTAGGGCTTCTGCCTCGGTTGAAGGGACCTTGTGGACTTTACCTGCCCTGTACACATAGCTGCCCTCCACCACCTTAAAGTCCAGATATCGAGTTACCTCGGTGTACACCAGCATTTTAACCAGCTGACCTGAACAAAAACACACAAACACAGGTTAACACAATAAGAATGAACTCTGACCCTGACACACAGTTAAACACGTTCACATTCATATTAGACGTATGATGACAAGACAGATGAACATAATATTAATCATAGTCCTCACCACTGGCAAGTAGAAATTTGGGAATAAGGTCCACATTCCAGTCCCTCCCACGTCCCATCGGCTTAGCTGGACCTGGAACCTGAAACCTCCTGTATAGCTACAAAATACAGCCACTCTCATAAACAATATACAATAACCCTTCAGTGTTTTGTATGTTTGTATGTTTGTGCATGTGTTCATACAGACCTCTTCTAGGGGGGAGATAGAGGCACTCTCTCCACCATAGTAAGGGTTGCGGTCAATGTGAAGAACCTTCTTCCCACCCACTGACATCAAGCCAGAGAGAATACATTCCTGAGGGAGATAGAGTCAGTGCTATTCATATCCAGAGCAATTAGAGTTAAGTGCCTTGCTCAAGGGCACATCGACAGATTTTTCACCTGGTTGGCTCTGGGATTCAAACCAGTGACTTTCTGGTTACTGGCCCATTGCTCTTAACTGCTAGGCAACCTGTGCTCCAGTAGACAGCTAAATGATGAATCTAATCCCTTAGACAGCCTGCAAGGCTTTAAACATTCTTCGAGAGCCCAGGGATCACCTGTGTGCTTGTGTGTGTTTGTGTAGGTTAATGAATTAATACACATTTTTTACACTTGACATTATAGAAAGTACACATGAAACACATGCATGGAATATGATCAAAGCTAAGTAATACAATCAATGAACTGAAGTAAAATATTACATTTGAAAGAAATGTGACAGCTAGTAGTAGGTATTATATTTAATCATCTTTACTTTGTCCATGGTACCATAAATATACAGTGTTTAGTGAAAGTCTACACACCCTTCTTCACATTGCGGTGCCTTAAAATTCAATCTAAAAAGGGATTACATTTTATGTTTTTCCTACAGATCTACACCACCTACTCCACATTTTCAAAGTTAAGAAAGTTATGGACTCTTGATTGTGTAGGTCTTCACTCCCCAGAGTTAATACTTGGTGGAAGCACCTTTGCAACCATTACAGCTGTGAACCATTTTGAATAAGATTCTACCAACTTTACACAACTCTTAGGGCAACATGTATCCATTGTTTTTGTCAAAATTGCTTAAGCTCAGTAAATTTGGTTGGGAATGTGGAGTGAATTCAGTGTTGTTGATCCATTTGTATTTTCAAGTATTGTGGTGGCAGCATCATGTTAAGGGTATAATTAGGATCAAAATAATTATGAAAGGAGCAAAATCCCATGTAAAAAGTTAGAGGAAAACCCGCCTCAGTCTTCTGAAAACCTAACCCTGCGATAGCATTGTATTTTTCCGTGGGAGAATTATACAAATTAAAATGCCAAAGACACACCAGAATGGTGTTGAGTGTTTCTGACTGGTCCAGTTTCAGTCCTGACTTAAATCTGCTTGAAGATTCAGAGACAAGGTTCGAATATTGTTGTCCATAAAAGATTGCCAACCAAATGTACCTAGCTTGAGCAATTTGGACAAAAACAATGGATAGTATGTCCACGAGACATTTGTTCAAAGCAAGTGCTACTTCAAACATCTATACATTGTGTCATCATTTTGAACGACACTATTTATTTAAAGCTTCGCTCTATTTTGAAATATATAGCACTCACACTCCAGAAACATCCACATATGTTTTTAGTACAGGGAGAGATATGTATTAGGCCACCACAAGCATATATTCTACTGTCTATTGGACTATTGAAGGGATGCGATACCATTCTTCCACTAGAAATTCCATCATTTGGTATTTTGTTGATGGTGGTGGAAACGCTGTTCAGGCGCCGCTCCTGAATCTCCAATAAGTGTTCAATTGGGTTGAGATTTAGTGGTGCATACGCAAATGCCAGCCTGGTCTCAGACTAGACGTAACATAGTAAAAGTAAATCCGATTCCGGGACACTCAAATTAGTATGATATGTTACGTTTGGTATGGTTACATAAGAAAAAAGGTTACTTAAGGCAAAAACTAAAGTAGTGTAGTTGGTCGGGGTGGATGGGTAGGCATATAACGCGAATGTCTAGCTACCCAAAGGTTGCATGGACAACATTTACATTTTAGCAACTACTTACTATTTGTTAGCTACTTTGCAACTACTTAGTATGTTAGCTAACCCTTCCCCTAACCTTAACCCTTTAACCTAACTCCTAACATTAACACTAACCTTAACCCCTAATCCCTAGCCTAGCTAACGTTAGCCACAACAATATGGAATTCATAACATATACATTTTGCAAATTTGTAACATATCGTACGAATTTAAATTCGTAACATATCGTATGAAATGGATGAATGACATCCACAAATTAATACATACCATACGAAACATATAATACTAATTATAGTGTACGGTATTTACATTTACTATGTTACGTCTACCCCTGAGTCCAGGTTGCCTTGGAGACCCCACTATCAAAGTCACTGAGATCTCTTCTTCTAGCCATGGTAGCCAAAATAATGGGCAACTGGACATTTTTATACATTACCCTAAGTGTGATGGGATGTTCATTGCTTAATTAAATCAGAAAACCACACATATGTGGAAGCACCTGCTTTCAATGTACTTTGTTTTCCTAATTTACTGGTGTTTCCTTTATTTTGGGAGTTACCTGTATGTTTCCAGGAGTTGTACAAGGTTGGTAAAATCTTTGTTTCACTTTGAAAATGTGAAGTCCGTTGTGTAGATCATAGTATTGAAAAAAAAATGTAATCCTTTTTAGATTTTATTTTAAGGCAGCCAAATGTGAAGACTGTGCAAGGGGTGTGTAGACTTTCATAAGCGACTGTATATAATAATAATACTGTTCTATGTACCTCCTCTCTAAATTCTCTGACTTCCATTACTTTATTCTTTCATGTTGATAGAATTCACTGTTGATCTTCTATACTCAAACTCTGACTAAAAACCTGGCAAGTATAGTCCATGATACACATTAAACACCAAGATACACATTAATCATTTCTACATTTCCCCCTACATATTAAGACATTGCCACGCTTACAATCGTAAGTGTTTTTATAGTATTAAGTCTTTATGGTATCTTTATTGGGTAGTTCAGAGAGCAGAACTTTGGTAAAAATGTGTGTGAGGGAATGTGAGAGTTTCTCTTACCTTCAGTCCTGTACCCAACACTATGATATCAAACTCCTGCATGGTGACTGATCCGTGCCCAGGGCCAAGTCCCTTTTCTACTACTGAGCACCAGTATGGTTAAGTATGGTTGTGTGTGTGATTCACTCTCTCCATCTACACATCATTATTATGTCTTCCCCGTCATGATAATCCTCTCAAGCATCACAAGCACGACAAGTAATTAGGCACTGAAGTTTATCTGTGTGTGTATGTGTATGTGTGTGTGTGTGTGTGTGTGTGTGTGTGTGTGTGCCTCGATAATAAATCACTGAAATCAATGGAATCATGTTCATATTCAAATCAAATCATATTTCATTACTTATGCCCAAAACTGTTATTTCATATAATTTCTTGCCACAAACACTTGACACTTAAAGCGCCAACAATTGTTTTAAACAACTGAATATACTATGTTCTGCAGTTCAACAGCAACATGCAGTAAATAACATAAAAATATATACAAAATACAGTGCATTCGGAAAGTATTCAGACCCCTTGACTTTTTCCACAATTTGTTACGTTACAGACGTATTTTTAAATGGATTTAATAACTAAATTAGTTTTTTTTGCAAATGTATTACAAATAAAAAACAGAAATACCTTATTTACATAAGTATTCAGACCCTTTGCTATGAGACTCGAAATTGAGCTCAGGTGCATCCTGTTTCCATTGATCATCCTTGAGATGTTTCTACAACTTGATTGGAGTCCACCTGTGGTAAATTCAATTGATTGGACAGGATTTAGATAAGGTCCCACAGTTGACAGTGCATGTCAGAGTAAAAACCAAGCCATGAGGTCGAAGGAATTGTCCGTAGACCTCCGAGACAGGATTGTGTCGAGGCACAGATCTGGGGAAGGGTACCAAAAAAATTCTGCAGCATTGAAGTCACCAAGAACACAGTGGCCTCCATCATTCTTAAAAGGAAGACGTTTGGGACCATCAAGACTCTTCCTAGAGATGGCTGCCCGGCTAAACTGAGCAATCAGGGGAGAAGGGCCGTGTTCAGGGAGGTGACCAAGAACCCAATGGTGACTCTGACAGGGCTCCAAAATTCCTCTGTGGATATGGGAAGAACCTTCCAGAAGGACAACCATCTCTGCAGCACTCCACTAATCTGTCCTTTATGGTCGAGTGGCCAGACAGAAGCCACTCCTCAGTAAAAGGCACAAGACAGCCCGCTTGGAGTTTGCCAAAAGGCACCTAAAGGACTCTCAGACCATGAGAAACAAGATTCTCTGTTCTGATGAAACCAAGATTGAACTCTTTGGCCTGAATGCCAAGCATCATGTCTGGAGGAAACCTGGCACCATCCCTACAGTGAAGCATGGTGGTGGCAGCATCATGTTGTGGGGATGTTTTTCAGCAGCAGAGACTGGGAGACTAGTCAGGATCGAGGGAAAGATGAACGGAGAAAAGTACAGAGAGATCCTTGATATAAACCTGCTCCAGAGTGCTCAGGACCTCAGACTGGGGCGAAGGTTCACTTTCCAACAGGACAACGACCCTAGGTTGACTTTCCAACAGGACAATGACCCTAAGCACACAGCCAAGACATCGCAGGAGTGGCTTCGGGACAAGTCTCTAAATGTCCTTGAGTGGCCCAGCCAGAGCCCGGACTTGAACCCGATCGAACATCTCTGTAGAGACCTGAAAATAGCTGTGCAGCAACACTCCCAATCCAACCTGACAGAGCTTGAGAGGATCTGCAGAGAAGAACGGGAGAAACTCCCCAAATACAGGTGTGCCAAGCTTGTAGCGTCATACCCAAGAAGACTCAAGGCTGTAATCGCTGCCAAAGGTGCTTCAACAAAGTACTGAGTAAAGGGTCTGAACACTTTTTTTTTTTTAAAAAAAATCAAAAAACTCTACAAAACTGTTTTTGCTTTGTCATTATGGGGTATTGTGTGTTGATTGAGGGGAAAAAACGATTTAATCAATTTTAGAATAAGGCTGTAACGTAACAAAATGTGGAAAATGTCAAGGGGTCTGAATACTTTCTGAATGCACTGTATATATCAGAATATTATTAAAGCTGAAAAACTTTCAAGTCAAAATATAAAAAATGATTTGTGTTCCTTTTGTGGAGACACAACATTGAAAAACTCCCTCATTCACTTAAGCGTGGTTTTTACACCTGCATTGAAATGTAGTGGTATACCCACAGTCTAATGAAAGTATGCATAGACCCTCTCTCTAAATGTGTGTTTTTAAGTGGCGAGGCACTTGTTGTTTTGAACAGGAAGGAGAATGCCACCTCCCGTTTGTCCATGTCCAGGCAAACTTTGATTCTCTGGAGGTTCTAAGTTCTGCAGAATGTATAATTCATCCCTACAGTCGTGGTCAAAAGTTTTGAGAATGACACAAATATTAATTTTCACAAAGTCTGCTGCCTCAGTTTTTATGATTGTAGTTTGCATATACTAAAGAATGTTATGAAGTGTGATCAAATGAATTGCAATTAATTGCAAAGTCCCTCTTTGCCATGAAAATGAACTTAATCCCCAAAAAACATTTCCACTGCATCACAGCTCTGCCACAAAAGGACCAGCTGACATCATGTCAGTGATTCTCTCGTTAACACAGGTGAGAGTGTTGACGAGGACAAGGCTGGAGATCACTCTGTCATGCTGATTGAGTTAGAATAACAGACTGGGAGCTTTAAAAGGAAGGTGGTGCTTGAAATCATTGTTCTTCCTCTGTTAACCATGGTTACCTGCAAGGAAACACGCGCCGTCATCATTGCTTTGCACAAAAAGGGCTTCACAGGCAAGGATATTGCTGCTAGTAAGATTGCACCTAAATCAACCATTTATTGGATCATCAAGAACTTCAAGGAGAGAGGTTCAATTGTTGTGAAGAAGGCTTCAGGGCGCCCAAGAAAGTCTAGCAAGCGCCAGGACCATCTCCTAAAGTTGATTCAGCTGCGGGATCGGGGCACCACCAGTACAGAGCTTGCTCAGGAATGGCAGCAGGCAGGTGTGAGTGCATCTGCACGCACAGTGAGGCGAAGACTTTTGGAGGATGACCTGGTGTCAAGAAGGGCAGCGAGGAAGCCACTTCTCTCCAGGAAAAACATCAGGGACAGACTGATACTCTGCAAAAGGTACGGTTATTGGACTGCTGAGGACTGGGGTAAAATCATTTTCTCTGATGAATCCCCTTTCCGATTGTTTGGGGCATCCGGAAAAAAGCTTGTCTGGAGAAGACAAGGTGAGCGCTACCATCAGTCCTGTGTCATGCCAACAGTAAAGCATCCTGAGACCATTCATGTGTGGGGTTGCTTCTCAGCCAAGGGAGTGGGCTCACTCACAATTTTGCCTAAGAACACAGCCATGAATAAAGAATGGTACCAACACATCCTCCGAGAGCAACTTCTCCCAACCATCCAACAACAGATTGGTGATGAACAATGCCTTTTCCAGCATGATGTTCCCAGAGCCACTTAGTTATCACTTTTGCCTTATGGCAAGGTGCTCCATCATGCTGGAAAAGGCAAAATGATTTTACCCCAGTCCTCAGCAGTCCAATCCCTGTAACTTTTGCAGAGTAGCAGTCTGTCCCTGATGTTTTTCCTGGAGAGAAGTGGCTTCCTCGCTGCCCTTCTTGACACCAGTCCATCCTCCAAAAGTCTTCGCCTCACTGTGCGTGCAGATGCACTCACACCTGCCTGCTGCCATTCCTGAGCAAGCTCTGCACTGGTGGTGCCCCAATCCCGCAGCTGAATCAACTTTAGGAGACGGTCCTGCCGCTTGCTGGACTTTCTTGGGCGCCCTGACGCCTTCTTCACAACAATTGAACCTCTCTCCTTGAAGTTCTTGATGATCCAATAAATGGTTGATTTAGGTGCAATCTTACTAGCAGCAATATCCTTGCCTGTGAAGCCCTTTTTGTGCAAAGCAATGATGATGGCACGTGTTTCCTTGCAGGTAACCATGGTTAACAGAGGAAGAACAATGATTTCAAGCACCACCCTCATTTTAAAGCTTCCAGTCTGTTATTCTAACTCAATCAGCATGACAGAGTGATCTCCAGCCTTGTCCTCGTCATCACTCTCACCTGTGTTAACGAGAGAATCACTGACATGATGGCAGCTGGTCCTTTTGTGGCAGGGCTGAAATGCAGTGGAAATGTTTTTTGGGAATTAAGTTCACATAGAGGGACTTTGCAATTAATTGCAATTAATCTGATCACTCTTCATGACATTCTGGAGTATATGCAAATTACCATAATCAAAACTGAGGCAGCAGACTTTGTGAAAATGTGTATGTGTCATTCTCAACACTTTTGACCACGACTGTAGTTCAGAGCTGCTCTCTCCACTGGGTTGCTGCCTTTGACATGGAGCAGAAAATGTGGTCTGTGTGATCAGACACACACTCCACACAAAGCACACACTCTTCCTCAAGGCAGAAGAAACAGGGCCTCTGGGAGTGGAGGCTACACACAGCCTACGGGCCCTTGTCTTCTACTTGCGAGGGCCCCTCTGTAGCCCCCTCAGTAACCCCCTCCATAGCCTCCTCTGTGGGCCCCTGAGTGTTCTGGTGCTCCCTCTCCCTCAGCGGGGCATCACAGATGCTTCTTAGGGCCAGAGTGACTGGGGGCTGGTCTCTGGCGGACCTACATCAGCAGACAGGGCATTCTTGGACCCCTGCCTGCCTCCAGCTGGCCTCCAGGCAGGGCTTGCAGAAGCTGTGGCTACAGGAGAAGATGGCAGGCTCCCCACAAGACGGAAGTACATACAGGTGACGCATGCATGAAAACTAAGTCTGCAGGGGTTTACATGGTTTTGTGCATGTGCAAGGTGATATCAATTTCAACGGCAGTACCGGCACTCTAAAAAGTTGGGTAAACTATACTTTCCTGTGGATATTTTATCTCAAATTACGAGCGGCTGAAGGACCAACCTCATAGACAGCTGGCAGAGTAAGTTCAAATGTAGTTTTATTCAACATTCTGGCTTGTAAGGTAAACCTCTACGTTTCAGACTATATATCAGTATTGGTATAAAAGTCTGATTTATTATGCAAGCTACCACACAGTATTATTCATACACAGGGATAACTGAACTAACAAAGGGCAATTCCATGGTAACCGAGAGACTCCGATTTTTCACTTTAAAATGTATGTCAAACAAAAACCAATGATTGCAAAGTTAAACAAACCATACAACTATATGCACAAGGACTACTTTTAACAATTGTAACACTAAAGATTTTACAAAAACACATTTACTTGAAGAACCGTGCAGATGCAAAGTTTGGTAACAGAATATCGATTTGTGCCATCATTCTGTTACCAAACTTTACATCTGCACTATTCTTCAAGTAAATGTGTTTTCGTAAAATTCAGTGGGAATTGTCAAGTAGTCCTTGTGCACAGAGTTGTATGGTTTATTTAACTTTGCAACCATTGGTTTTTGTTTGACATACATTTTACATTTTAATCTGAGTCTCAGTGTCACTGTTACCGTGGAATTTCCCCAAACAAACTGCTTGTAACAAAAAGCACTTGCCTCTTGAGGTTGCCTTCTCCTTCGCAAATGTAGTCATCCAGGTCGGGGTTTCCTAAACTCGGTCCTGGGGCCCCCCCTGGGTGCACGTTTTGTTTTTTGCCTTAGCACTACACAGCTGATTCAAATAACCAACTCATCATCAAGCTTTGATTATTTGAATCAGATGTGTAGTTTGGGCAAAAAACTAAACATGCACCCAAGGGGACCCCAGGACCGAGTTTGGGAAACCCTGTGGAATCCAGGCAATGATAATCAAAGATTATGTAGATGGACCCTTGACAAGATAGCAGAGTGACCGCTCTAACAATGGAAATACATGTCCTCAATGATTGAAGGCAGGCGAGATCAGGTGGGACAATTCTAGCCAATGAGAGGGCAGATACGTGTGTGAACAACAGGCAGTGGTGTAAAACACTTAAGTAAAAATACTTTAAAGTACTACTTAAGTCGTTTATGGGGGTATCTGTACTTAACTTTACTATTTATATTTTTGACAACTTATACTTTTACTTCACTACATTCCTAAAGAAAATCATGTACTTTTTACTCCATATGTTTTCCCCTGACACCCAAAAGTACTCGTTACATTTTGAATGCTTAGCAGGACTGGAAAATGGTCCAATTCACGCAGTTCTCAAGAGAACATCCCTGGTCATCCCTACTACCTCTGATCTGGCGGACTCACTAAATACACATGCTTCGTTTGTAAATGATGTCTGAGTGATTTACACGATCAGTAAATAAATAAAAATTACAAGAAAATTTTGACATCTGGTTTGCTTAACATAAGGAATTTGAAAGGATTTATACTTTTACTTTTGATACTTAAGTATATTTTAGCAATTACATTTACTTTTGATAAGTATATTTAAAACCAAATACTTTCAGACTTTTACTCAAGTAGTATTTTACTGGGTGACTTTCACTTTTACTTGAGTCAGTCTATGAAAATTGGGTACTTTTTCCACAACTGACAACAGGCACAACAACTAAGTCGTTTTTCTCAAAGTTGCCAGAATGCCACGTGCATCCACTTTCATCAGTACATTTGTAACAGCCTAAACATTACGAAACTTCTAATCGACATTCTCTCATAGACCTCCATACAAAAAAGGTCTTATTTCACGCGGACAGATTGGGCGGTGTAAATCCTCTCGCTTCGCCTCTTCCTCTCTGTGATAATAAAAAAGAAGGAGGGCGAGGCTAAAGACAATGGCGGGGCCGTTATGACAGCATGCCTACATTTCCCAGCATCCCCAAGAAGATATGTCAAATGTCCTTTCACCTCACGAAACGCATATTTCAAGTTCTTGCTTCATTGTGTTGATGTCTCTTGCTTGTAGACGGTTTTGAGTATCCGCGGGTAGGTTATAGCAGGAACAAACCGGGCAACTAATGCTTGCTAGTCTGTTTTGAATCAAGGACGTCAATAGCCAACTAAGGCTACTGCAAACTTTATCCCTTTGCTGATACATGGTTGGGCGTGGAACTATCCAGACAATGTCAGCTTCAACAGTAAGTTTTATTTCTTTATTAACATTACCATAGCCAGCCTTGCCATTTATCAGTCATTCTGATATTTATTTTCATCCAGCTGATTACTCAACCCTAAAAGTGAGTAGTGATGGAGAGACGGTTCAGGGCAGCCGAAAATATAATTTTGGCTAAGAAAAATATTTCACAGCGGTTTAGATGGTACAATGATTTTCTACACTTGCTTGTCTCTTCACATAAACTTAAATTAGGCGCTCATAGAATGTTAGCAACCAGGAAATGGCGGAGCGATTTCTGCATAGTGCATATTTAAGATGCTTTTGGGAAACCGGGCCCTGCATATTTATTCTGCCCTTCTCACAGTTATCGGCAGAACATGACCAGCACACGCGGACAACCAGCCGTTCCAAGCCCGGCTTCCTGGAGCGTCTGAGTGAAACCGCAGGGGGAACAGTTCTTGGTGTTGCACTGTTCGCGCTCTCTTTTTACGTCCTTTTCACCAATGAGGCGAGTAGTTTCAAACAGTGTACACTACCGTTCAAAAGTTTGGGGTCACTTAGAAATTCTTATTTTCGAAAGAAAAGCTTTTTTTTTTGTCCATTAAAATAACATCAAATTGATCCGAAATACAGTGTAGACATTGTTAATGTTGTAAATGGCTATTGTAGCTGGAAACGGCTGATATATATAATTTATTTTTTATTTTTATGGAATATCTAAATTGGCCTACAGAGGCCCATTATCAGCAACCATCAGCCCTGTGTTCCAATGGCACGTTGTGTTTGCTAATCCAAGTTTATCATTTTAAAAGGCTAATTGATCATTAGAAAACCCTTTTGCAATTATGTTAGCACAGCTGAAAACTGTTGTGCTGATTTAAAGAAGCAATAAAACGGGCCTTCTTGAGACTAGTTGAGTATCTGGAGCATCAGCAATTATGGGTTCGACTACAGGATCAAAATGGCCAGAAACAAATAACTTTCTTCTGAAACTTGTCAGTCTATTCTTGTTCTGAGAAAAGATGGCTATTCCATGTGAGAAATTGCCAAGAAACTGAAGATCTCATACAACGCTGTGTACTCCCTTCACAGAACAGCGCAAACTGGCTCTAACCAGAATAGAAAGGAGTGGTAGGCCCCGGTGCACAACTGAGCAAGACCTGTGAGGCGTCTGTTTCTCAAAAACTAGACTAATGTATTTGTCCTCTTGCTCAGTTGTGCACCGGGGCCTCCCACTCCTCTTTCTATTCTGGTTAGAGCCAGTTTGCGCTGCTCTGTGAAGGGAGTAGTACTCAGCGTTGTACGAGATCTTCAGTTTCTTGGCAATTTTTTGCATGGAATAGCCATCATTTTTCAGAACAAGAATAGACTGACGAGTTTCAGAAGAAAGTTACTTGTTTCTGGCCATTTTGATCCTGTAATCGAACCCACAATTGCTGATGCTCCAGATACTCAACTAGTCTCAAGAAGACCCGTTTCTATTGCTTCTTTAATCAGCACAACAGTTTTCAGCTGTGCTAACATAGTGCCTTGCAAAAGTATTCATCCCCCTTGGCGTTTTTCCTATTTTGTTGTATTACAACCTGTAATTTAAGTTTATTTTTATTTGGATTTCATGTAATGGACATACACAAAATAATCCAAATTGGTGAAGTGAAAAAATAAAATAAAACTTGTTGCAAAAAATTCTAAAAGATAAATAACGGGAAAGTGGTGCGTGCATATGTATTCACCCCCTTTGCTATGAAGCCCCTAAATAAGATCTGGTGCAACCAATTACCTTCAGAAGTCACATAATTAGTTAAATAAAGTCCACCTGTGTGCAATCTAAGTGTCACATGATCTCAGTGTATGTGTGTGTGTATATATATATATATACACCTGTTCTGAAAGGCCCCAGAGTCTGCAACACCACTAAGCTAGGAGCACCACTAAGCAAGGAGCACCACCAAGCAAGCGGCACCATGAAGACCAAGGAGCTCTCCAAACAGGTCAGGGACAAAGTTGTGGAGAAGTACAGATCAGGGTTGGGTTCTAAAAAAAATATCTGACACTTTGAACATCCCACGGAGCACCATTTTAAATCCATTATTAACAAATGGAAAGAATATGGCACCACAACAAACCTGCCAAGAGAGGGCCGCCCACCAAAACTCACGGACCAGGCAAGGAGGGCATTAATCAGAGGCAACAAAGAGACCAAAGATAACCCTGAAGGAGCTGCAAAGCTCCACAGCGCAGATTGGAGTATCTGTCCATAGGACCACTTTAAGCCGTACACTCCACAGAGCTGGGCTTTACGGAAGAGTGGCCAGAAAAAAGCCATTGCTTAAAGAAAAAAAATACGCAAACACGTTTGGTGTTCGCCAAAAGGCATGTGGGAGAATCTCCAAACAAATGGAAGAAGGTACTCTGGTCAGATGAGACTAAAATGTAGCTTTTTGGCCATCAAGGAAAACGCTATGTCTGGCGCAAACCCAACACCTCTCATCACCCGAGAACACCATCCCCACAGTGAAGCATGTTGGTGGCAGCATCATGCTGTGGGGATGTTTTTAATCGGCAGGGACTGGGAAACTGGTCAGACTTGAAGGAATGATGGAAGGCGCTAAATACAGGGAAATTCTTGAGGGGAAACCTGTTTCAGTCTTCTGGAGATTTGAGACTGGGACGGAGGTTCACCTTCCAGCAGGACAATGACCCTAAGCATACTGCTAAAGCAACACTCGAGTGGTTTAAGGGGAAACATTTAAATGTCTTGGAATGGCCTAGTCAAAGCCCAGACCTCAATCCATTTGAGAATCTGTGGTATGACTTAAAGATTGCTGTACACCAGTGGAACCCATCCAACTTGAAGGAGCTGGAGCAGTTTTGCCTTGAAGAATGGGCAAAAATCCCAGTGGCTAGATGTGCCAAGCTTATAGAGACATACCCCAAGAGACTTGCAGCTGTAATTGCTGCAAAAGGTGGCTCTACAAAGTATTGACTTTTGGGGGGGTGAATAGTTGTGCACGCTCAAGTTTTCTGTTTTTTTGTCTTGTTGGTTTCACAATAAAACATATTTTGCATCTTCAAAGTGGTAGGCATGTTGTGTAAATCAAATGATACAAACCCCCAAAAAATCAATTTTAATTCCAGGTTGTAAGGCAACAAAATAGGAAAAATGCCAAGGTGGGTAAATACTTTCGCAAGCCACTAATTGCAAAAGTTTTCTAATGATCAATTAGCCTTTTAAAATGATCAACTTGGATTAGCAAACACAACGTGCCATTGGAACACAGGACTGATGGTTGCTGATAATGGGCCTATGTAGATATTTCATAAAAAATCAGCAGTTTCCAGCTACAATAGCCATTTACAACATTAACAATGTCTACACTGTATTTCTGATCAATTTGATGTTATTTTAATGGACAAAAAAAAATGCTTTTCTTTCGAAAACAAGGACTTTTCTAAGTGACTCCAAACTGTTGAACGGTAGTGTATGTAGCAGCACAGTAAAGTGTATGTCTGTGGACATTTCTAGAATATTGTATCATTGAAACAAAATATTTCTGAAATATGACATGTTTCAGATAAACCGTGTGTGTGTAGAATAGGCTATTTTAGCATGTATAGGCCTCCAGTAGTCCAACAGTTGGTTTCCCCACACAGGGAAGGGCCCTGAGAACCGCTACCTCCCTGGATGAGGGTCTCTCTCAGGTGGTGTCCCTGCACCTGTACTCCAGCCCACTGGACCATAACAACAACCATCTGGTTCACCTGACAGCCCCACTGCGCACCTTACAGGTATAGGCCTACAATACTCACCACTATACATTACTATTACCAGTCTCATCACCTGACCCAAATTCTATTAGAGGTGCTGGTACAACTGAGCGCTGCTGTAACTCTTGTGTAATAATAAACCAATATAGGCCTGCCACTGTTACTATTCAGTTCTCCTACTGCTCAAATGCTTTACAGAAAGGTTCCCTTAAGCCTCTTTCTGATCTCATTTCTTTACCTGGGCTCATATCCACAAAGCATCTCAGAGTAGGAGGTGCTGATCTGGGATCTGTCCATATAAATCGTATTTATTCAGCACTCCTACTCAGAGTTGCTTTGTGGATATGGTCCCTGATCTTAACCTGTCATCACGTCCTCCTCCCATCCCTCTCCTCTCTAGCCCCTCCATGACCCGAACTACAGAGTGGCGGTGCAGGCGGTAAAGCTGAAGAGACAGGTGGAGATGTACCAATGGGTGGAGTACAGCGAGAGCAGGTGAGTCAGGGTCTTATGATCTGGCAGGTACAGTGCATTCAGAAATGATTCATACCCCTTGACTTATTCCACAGTTAGTTGTGTTACAGCCTGAATTCAAAATGTATTAAATAAAAAACACCCATCCACACACTACTCCATAATGACAGTGAAAACATGTTTTTAGAAATTTATTGAAAATGAAATATTTAATTCACATGAGTATTCACACCCCTGAGTGTTAGAATCACCTTTGGCGGTCAGTCTTTCTGGGTACGTTTCTGAGCTTTGCACACCTGGGTTGTATAATATTCGCACATTTTGCTTTTTAAAATTCTCCAAGCTCTGTCAAGTTAGCCATTTTCAAGTCTTGCCATAGATTTTGAAGCCTTTTATTTATATATATATATATATATATACACCCCCCCCTTTAAAAAAATATATATTATTATTGTTTTTATTTTATTTATTTCTTCTATAAAGAAATTTGGTCAACTTTAACTAGGACATTCAGGAACTTTCAATGTTGTCTTGGTAAGCAACTCCAGTGTATATTTGGCCTTGTGTTTTAAGTTATTGTCCTGCTGAAAGGTGAATTTGTCTCCGAGTGTCTGTTGGAAAGCAGACTGAACCAGGTTTTCCTCTAGGATTTTTACCTGTGCTTAGCTCTGTTCCATTTTTTAAATATTTTTTTTTAATCCTAAAAACTCCACTAGTCCTTGCTGATGTCAAGCATACCCATATCATGATGCAGCCAGCACCAAGCTTACAAATATGAAGAGTGGTACTCAGTGTTGGATTTGCCTCAAACATAACCCTTTGTATTCAGGACATAAAGTTAATTTATTTGTCAATTTTTTTGCAGGTTTACTTTAGTGCCTTATTGCAAACAGGATGCATGTTTTGTTTTGGAATACTTTTATACTGTATAGGCTTCCTTCTTTTCACTGTCATTTGTTAGTATTGTGGAGTAACACCTGGTATCTTTGTAGTGACTGGGTGTATTGATACACCATCCAGTGTAATTGATAACCTCACCATGCTCAAAGGGATATTCAATGTCAGCTTTTTTCCCCATCAACCAATAGGTGCCCTTCTTTCCGAGGCATTGGAAAACCTCCCTGGTCTTTGTGGTTGAATCTGTTAGAAATTCACTGCTCAACTGAGGGACCTTACAGATAATTGTATGTGTGGGGTACAGCGGTGAGGTTGTCATTCAAAAATCATGTTAAACACTTATTGCACAGAGTGAGTCCATGCAACTTATTATGTGACTTGTTAAGCAAATCTTTACTCCTGAACTTATTTAGGCTTGCCATAACAAAGGGGTTGAATACTTAAGACATTTCAGCTTTTCATCTTTAATTCATTTGTAAAACTTTATAAAAACATATTTCCACTTTGACATTAGGGATTATTGTGTGTAGGTCAGTGACACAATCTCAATTTACCAATTTTTAAATTCAGGCTGCAACACAACAAAATGTGTGAAAGTCAATGTGAATACTTTCTGAAGGCACTGTATGTAGGGTTGAGCTAACTGGTGGACAGGACTATGATCGTCATTCCTCATCAGTTACTGACGGGTCTCATTTTCACCGACCTTCACTGGGTACGTTTACATGCGCACGATCATATGGTTATTGTGAATATTCAGTTTAAAGATAATAGTTTAAAATGTTTACATGCTTTGCAAGAAATTTCCCTAATAATCCTGTTAACATGGACACACCTGAAATCAGGATACCTGCTGGGACTTTGATAAATGCCGAAAATTGCCAATCACACAGCGACTGTTGTTTTTGTGAAGTGTATTTGATTCTGAGTTCGGACATATAAAGTTTGTATGTGGAAACTATTTCTAAGATGCATACAGTGCATTCGGAAAGTATTCAAACCCCTTGACTTTTTCCACATTTTGTTACGTTACAGCCTTATTCTAAAATGGATTAAATAAAAACAATTTGATCTACACACAATACCCCATAATGACAAAGCGAAAACAGGTTTTTGCTAATGTATTACAAATAAACAACTTATTTACATATGTATTCAGACCCTTTGCTATGAGACTCTCAAGTGCATCATGTTTCCATTGATCATCCTTGATGTTTCTACAACTTGATCGGAGTCCACCTGTGGTAAATTCAATTGATTGGACATGATTTGGAAAGGCGCACACACGTGTGTGTGTGTGTGTGTGTATATATGGTCCCACAGTTGACCGTGTATGTCAGAGCAAAAACCAAGCCATGAGGTCGAAGGAATTGTCCGTAGAGCTCCGAGACAGGATTGTGTTGAGGCAGAGATCTGGGGAAGGGTACCAAAACATTTATGCGGCTTTGAAGGTCCCCAAGAACACAGTAGCCTACATCATTCTTAAATGGAAGAAGTTTCGAACCACCAAGACTCTTCCTAGAGCTGGCCGCCCGGCCAAACTGAGCAATCGGGGGAGAAGGGCCTTGGTCAGGGAGGTGACCAAGAACCCGATGGTCACTCTGATAGAGTTCCTCTGTGGAGATGGGAGAACCTTCCAGAAGGACAAACCATCTGTGCAGCACTCCACCAATCAGGCCTTTATGGTAGAGTGGCCAGACGGAAGCCACTCCTCAGTAAAGGGCACATGACAGCCCGCTTGGAGTTTGCCAAAAGGCACCTAAAGGACTCTCAGACCATGAGAAGCGCTCAAGACCTCAGACTGGGGCGACGGTTCAATTTCCAACAGGACAACGACCCTAGGTTCACTTTCCAACAGGAAAATGACCCTAAGCACAAAGGCAAGACAGCGCAGGAGTGGCTTCGGGACAAGTCTCTGAAATGTCCTTGAGTGACCCAGCCTGAGCCCGGACTTGAACCCGATCTAACGTCTCTGGAGAGACCTGAAAATAGCTACGCTCCCCATCCAACCTGACCGCGCCTGAGAGGATCTGTAGAGGAGAAACTGAGAAACTCTCAAAATAAAGGTGTGCCAAGCTTGAAGCATCATACCCAAGAAGACTCAAGGCTGTAATCGCTGCCAAAAGTGCTTTAACAAAGTACTGAGTAAAGGGTCTGAATACTTATGTAAATGTGATATTTAAAAAATATCTATACATTTGCAAATTCTGAACCTGTTTTTGCTTTGTCATTATGGGGTGTTGTGTGTAGATTGAATTTAAAAAATCCATTTTAGAATAAGGCTGTAACATAACAAAAGGTGAAGGGGTCTGAATACTTTCCGAATGCACTGTACTTTCAGTTTTTCCAAACTCACTTCACTCGTGCAAAAGAGGGAGGCTCGCTAGGCTGGTGCTAACACATGCGTAGATCAAATATACCCCTGGTGTTCACATTTTCCTAATAATTCGAAAGATTGCTTAGAAATCCAGGTGCTTTAATCGGCGTATGCTTACTTTGATTATGACCTGACGCAGAGTAAGGTGTTTACATGACTAATTATTAGTGTGCCTGTGTAAACACTCATTTTGTGTCTTTGCTGAACTGATTTTCAGGCACATGCTATTCGTTTGTTTGTTCATTCACTCACTACTTAACCAACAGCCGATTCAGGGAATCCATAGCTCCTACTCATTCAGAATGAATACTGTGGTTGTGTTTAGGCAGCTACATGTGTCAGATGTGTGTGTGTGTTTATTTGTAACCTGCTAGTGACTATTCCTCAGAGACTATGACGAGGGTGGAGAGTCCAAGACTGAGACTACGTACAACTACAGTAAGTACAGACCAGTGGAGGCTGCTGAGGGGAGGACGGCTCATAGTAAAGGGCTGAAACTGAGTAAATGGAATGGCATCAAACACATGGAAACCATGTGTTTTGTATTTGATACCATTCCGCTGTTATCACGAGCTCGTACTCCCCCCAATGAAGGTGCCACAAACCTCCTGTGGTACACACAGTGAAGAACAACAAAATGTACTACATTACTTACTTCAGTAGCAACATGCATGCCATGCCAGTGAAATGTATCAGATCCTAACTCTTTCTTCAGATACAGAGTGGAAGGCAGAGCTTATCAACAGCAGGAACTTTGATAAAGAGATTGGTCACATCAACCCGAGGTACTCCAATTATTTTGTCTTCTCGGTCTCATTCTTTCTGTCTCACTCATTGTCAGTCACAACTACAGCAGGTATTATGTTAATGAACTGGTACAGAGGTATTTTGTTGTCTCTACCTAACATGCTGGTGCATTTACAGTGCCATGGCAGTGGAGAGTGTAACAGTGGTGACTCCTGATGTTCAGGTTGGACCTTTCTCGCTCTCCAAAGGTATCTACAGAACACAGGCTAGCAGCTCCATTGCTTGTCTAACAACTTTTGAAATGTATCCCGGTGATTTGGTTAATTTATTAATTTGTTTAATTTTCTCCTGAGGATTGGTGGATCAGATTGAGAACTTCCAGACATTGCGTCTGAAGGATCTCCCCGCTCCTGACTCTGACTCCTTTCTCACGGTCGATGAGGACTACTTCTACCACACCCAACACCCCCGCAGACCAGAGGTGAGTGTCACTCACAACACTGGCTGCGTTTAGACAAGCAGCCCAATTCTTCTGATATTTTATCCCACTCATTGGTATTTTGACCTATCAAGTCAGATCTTTTCAGAGCTGCTCTGATTTGTCAAAAGACCAATTATTGAAAAAAAATATCAGAATATGGCTGCCTGTCTAAACGCTCAAAGCTTTTCTAACGATGGCTCACTACACAAACATATAGCTTTTTACACAATGATTCACCAACATAAACCTACAGTTTTTCACACGACAACTCACCTTCATAAATAAATATATATATATATAGCTGTTAACATAAAGGCTGGTATGCACAGGCTCATGCCATTCTATTGTGACTTAAACTCTGGTGATTTGATTTGTTGGTTGTTTAGGTGGGAGACGTGCGTGTGAGCTTCTCCTATGCTGGACTCAGTGGGGAAGGGAGCTACCCTGGGCCAGCCCAGACAGTGAGTACATAGAGCTCAGGAGCTTTACACTGACCTCCAGTTGGTCCATGGTGGTCAGCTTGTAGATTGCTTTTGTCAACTTGTGAAATGTCCATCTCCCGATGGAGAATAAAGTTCTTATTTTCTACTCTCTGTTATCAGTTATTGAAGTCATTATTCATCATTAATCACTAAATACTGCCCCCAAGTACCCCTTAAGTCACTGTGTACTACATAAGTCCATAATCCTCTTCAAATGAACTGTCAGTGGAACAACTCTTATCATCAACTGATTGCTAACTGGAGTACCCTAACTGATCTGAGAGCCTGGTGTCCCACAGGTCAGTGTTGTGGCCATGCAGAGTGATGACACCTTGAAGCCCTTTAGGACCAAATCAGGAGACATACTAGAGATCATCTACCTGGAGGAGCTCACTGCTGAGGTGTGGGGGGTGGGGCTTTCATTTTTTGAAGGATGTGATTTTTCTTGATTACTTTTCTGACAATATCCTCTTCATCCATCACTGAAATGTACCTACTCTGAACCATGTCTTGTTTTTCCTGATTTTCTATACTACCTCGATCACATCCCTGATAGTTTTGTTTTGGTTGTGTTGGTAGGAAGTGTTTGAGAGGGAGCAAAAGAACAATGCTATGCTGACCTGGGCTCTCAGGGCTGGAGGCTGGTTACTCATGTTCCTCGGCATTAGTCTGATGATCCGCATCATCCACACACTGGGTAACACACCGCATTGGTTAACTCGATACCTAATTTTACTTTTCATAAGCATACAGACATGATCTTATGTTCCAGTCTAAACTTAACTGCTCTGTATGCATGTCAGTGTCTCTCTTAACATGTGTATTTTGTTATCCAGTGGATTGGGTCCCTATTCTTAGAGAGCTGATCAGCTTGGGGCTGAAGCTCTTTGCCCTGTGTGTTTCCTGCTCCCTCTCCCTGCTCACCATCTCCTCTGGCTGGATCTTCTACCGCCCCCTAGTGGCTGTGGGGCTGATTGCCATGGCTGTGATTCCGATCGTCATCGCCCGCTCTCGCGCCCCGGCCAAGAAACACCAATGACGTTTTGAACTGAATGACCCTTGTCATCAGTGCTCCAATCCTTGCAGAACAGTCATTTGAGAGCCATTGTCTTGTCACCTCACTTTACCCAACACACCCTTAATGTGCCATATGCCAATGACAGACCCCTCAGGAATTTAGATAATGGGTATAATGTGGTCATTCTAATAAAAGTACAGAACAATATGGATGTTACATAGGACAATATGAAATACATTTGCACATATTGAAACAATGTTATTGAACAAGTTTTGCAATAATACCAAAGACCTTAGAAGGGATATTTACGCATGTAAGGCATTTGATTGTATACACGTTTGTACAAGTTATGAGTATGTTACAAAATGTTAAATAAAACTTTAATTTGTCCATCCTCTGTGCTGAAAGCTTAGTATGGGCAGATGTAAGCAGAACTCCTTTTAGTTCTGGCGAAGCAGACAAACAAAGGACAATGATACTGTAGCAACCCTAACCCAATAACCTATCCACCTTTTCAAGATGCTCAGACTTCTTGGTGTAACGGTTAAGGTGTTGCCTTGACAGTCGCTGGATCCGGGCTACCCCCTGAATTTGCTACATTGGTGTCAGAAGTAGGATGGTGCCCGTGAGGCCATTAGAGAAGTGTGTACACATAAGGGACTTGGTATAGGGAAATAAGGTCACTACCCACCCCGAATTCGCTACAATACTTTCCTCTCACTGATATCCCAACGACTATACAGTATCTCAATTTGGCTTCTTACATCGATCATCCTGTTCCTATTAACTTCCACCGTCTCAGGTCTTAGAGGTATTTATTACACAAAGACACGTGTGTTAAACTGAGTGGTCCAGTCTTGTCCGTGTGTGCATATGAATAGATGCACATAGGGCTTTATATGAAGCACATTTATTTCAACAATGTTATGCCTGTGTGCATAATAAAAAAACTAAAAAATTATCAAGCCTATGGGTCACAGTGTATGGGTACCCCACCCTGATTGGCTATGGAGACATTCCTCAGTTCAGTGGGTGGGGCTCAAGCACTTAATTGGCAGGTATGACAATAATAGGTCCCCTGGCTGACCACTTTAGTTGCATGGCAGTACAGGTTCACAAAGGATGTGTTTATGGCAGATTCACTCATGTACAAAAACATAAGCATTTCCATAACCCCATCATCATTGAATACTGACAAAACCATGACTATTTAACTTGTTTCACTTTACGACAAATTAAAAGCATTACACCTTTAGTAAAAACTGGTGAGCACAGTCTTTTTTGGGGCGGAGGGGGAATAGACCTAATTTCTTATCTTCTGTCGTTCCCCTTGCCCCCAGTAGGAGGCCGAGTCCCTCGCCTCCCTTTACAGTAGGAGGCATTTATTTCTCTGCTTCCCCCGCCGGGCCTGTAGCGCCGCCCTGGTGGCCATCTCAAACACTTCCCTGACGCCATCCTTGGTCTTTGCGGAGCACTCCATGTAGCCGAAGGCACTGATCCGGTTCGCCATGTCACGCCCCTCCTCTGGTTTCACAGGCTCCTGTGGGGGGGGGGGGGGGGGGGGGGGGGGGCAGGCAATGTGGAGTTAGGAAAGCCACATTGACCCTATGAGAATTAGGTGTGTGTGTGTGTGTACTTGTTTTCCTACATTATCAGGAAACCAATGTCCTAACAATTCATCAGAATGTCCTAAAAAAGGTTGGAAAGCAATTACTTTTCAGGTCCTTACATTTGTTTGAATGCTATTTTAAGCTTAATTGGATTCGCCCCTCCGTTCTTGATTTAAAAAATGTTTTACATTTTAAATTATTTGCGTACTTGTTTGACATTTTACTGCATTGTTAGGAGCTAGTAAATTAATAATTTCGCTGCACCCACTATAAAACCTCCTAAACTGTGCAAACGACCAATAAACTTGATAAACTAGTGTTTGTGCAATGAGTCTTTCATTCCTGTTGAAAGCAAGTCTAAGAAGCAGTAGATCTGTTCTATGTGTGCTATTTCTATGCTTCCCGTTCTGAAGTTTAGTTTTTGCATCTTTTGCGGTCGGTTTTGTAAACCAGCTTCAAACAGTCGGCTTTCCAATTCATCCCAAAGGTGTTCGATGGAGATGACGTCAGGGCTCTGTGCAGGCCAGTCAAGTTCTTCCACACCGATCGACAAACCATTTCTGTACGGACCTCGCTTTGTGCTTTGTGCATTGTCATGCGAAACAGGAAAGGGCCTTCCCCAAACTGTTGCCACAAAGTTGGAAGCACAGAATTGTCTAAAATGTCATTGTATGCTGTAGCGTTACGATTTCCCTTCACTGGAACTAAGGGGCCTAGCCTGAACCATGAAAAACAGCCTCAGACCAATATTCCTCCTCTACCAAACTTTACAGTTGGCACTATGCATTCGGGCAGGTAGCGTTCTCCTGGCATCCGCCAAACCCAGATTTGTCTGTCGGACTGCCAGATGGTGAAGCGCGATTCGTCACTCCAGAGAATCTGTTTCCACTGCACCAGAGTCCAATGGCGGCGAGCTTTACACCACTCCAGCTGACGCTTGGCATTGCGCTTGGTGATCTTAGGCTTGTGTGCCTAAGAAAACCCATTTCATGAAGCTCCCGACAAACAGTTATTGTGCTGGCGTTGCTTCCAGAGGCAGTTTGGAACTCTGTAGTGAGTGTTGCAACCGAGGACTTTTACGAGCTTCAGCCCTCGGCGGTCCCGTTCTGTGAGCTTATGTGGCATACCTCTGTAGTCCTCTGTAGCTCAGCTGGTAGAGCACGGCGCTTGTAACGCCAAGGTAGTGGGTTCGATCCCCGGGACCACCCATACACAAAAATGTATGCACGAATGACTAAGTCGCTTTGGATAAAAGCGTCTGCTAAATGGCATATTATTATTATTATTATTATAATAATACCACTTCGCAGCTGAGTAGTTGTTGCTCCTAGACATGAAATAGACGAATCCACTAATTTAAAGGGGTGTCCACATACTTTGGAATATATAGTGTATATGTGATTGTATACAAATGCAAGCAAGGTTTGAAATTATTATGTTTTAGTCAAATATCTGTTTGGGCTTCTTGCGATCAATTTAGTATACAAATTATTTGAAATGATGTTCCGGCCCCCTGACCATCCACTCAAGAAAAGATAGGCTTGCAGCTGAATCTACATTTACATTACATTTTAGTCATTTAGCAGACGCTCTTGTTGATGATCCCTGCCCTACACAACTAAGGTGAGTTTTCCTCTTCTCACTTTTCTTAGAATGGTTCTCAACAGTCATTATAGCCTACTGTTGAAATTTGCTGTTAAACACAATGGCAACATGGTCAGGGTAAAGGCGCAACCGTTTTCTAGAAGTCAGGCTTTTTTTCGGGTTCGGGCTAGGTCGGACCGGATTTGAATTTTCAGGCCTGATGACAACTGTAGTGTGTGTGACTGACTGTACCTGCTTCATCTTAGCTAGCTCTCTACGGGTGTGCTCGTCGTTACGCAGGTCCTTTTTGTTGCCCACAAGGATGATGGGAACGTTAGGGCAGAAGTGTTTGACCTCTGGAGTCCATTTCTCTGGGATGTTTTCTACACAGGAGAGAATACAAATCAAGGCTGTCCAGGTACAATGCCTCTGTGTGTGTGTGTGTGCGTGTAAGTGTGCTACCAATTCTGTCAAAGCTGTGTCACCAAAACAAGGGCCTGTGTCACAAAACAGAATATGTATGCATGTGTATATGTCTGCACAGATGTATGTGTGGGTGTCTGCACATAGCAGCATTAAATACTCACCCAAACTGTCAGGGCTATCGATGGAGAAGCACATGAGGATGACATCTGTATCTGGGTAAGATAGGGGGCGGAGCCTATCATAGTCCTCCTGGCCTGCTGTATCCCATAGTGCCAACTCAACCTGCCAAAGGATTTCAGACATCAGCCAACTTCCCAGTTACAGCTGATACCGTGTACGTGACCTACTACTTGAAAAGGCATGATGCCGAATGGCCAACCTAACATTTCATTATTGATAGAGTCAGCAATACGACGTCCTGCATTGAGAAATCGATGACTACTAAAATGTATATCTGCCAACACTGTCTGCCACTATTGGCAATGTATGCAAGCCTTGAGGGAGGATGCAAATTGGGAGGAGGAAATGGCAATATTGGTAGATTTGAATTCTGTTGATTCTAATTGATTGTCCTGCTGAGTACAATGTCATTTTTGAGTCTACCTTTACAGCGAGAGAACTACAGGATGAAAAAACAAAGGGAGGGGACTTTTTCACCTGTTTGCTGTCGACCTCAATGTCAGCGACATAGTTCTCGAAGACAGTGGGCACGTAGACTTCAGGGAACTGGTCTTTACTGAAGACGATGAGCAGACAGGTCTTCCCACATGCTCCATCTCCAACTATGACCAGCTTCTTTCGGATGGCTGCCATGACTGGACAAATGATAGAGAACATTGAGAGACAGGCATAAATACATTGCAGGTCACAAAGAGTTGGAGCATGGATGGTACTGGCAACAAAGACGTTGTCAAGTCCTGCATGGGCCACATATTCCTTAGTTCAGGAGTCTCCAACTCTGTTCCTGGAGTGTCCTGGAGTGCTACCCTCCCGTAGGGTTTCGCTTCAACCCCAGTTGTAACTAACCTAATTCAGTTTATCAACGAGCTAATTATTAGAATCAGGTGCGCTAGATTAGGGTTGGAGTGAACACCTACAGGACAGTAGATCTCCAGGAACAGGGTTTGACAGCCCTGCAGTAAATAATTTGACTATTGTTGTTAGCTGTGGCAAAGTGGTGGAACTGTCCTTCGAAAATAAATCCTTGTTAATGGGCTAGCTCTGTCACTTCAAAAATCATTGATTAATTAATATGATCGGAAAACTATCCTGCAGGATTTGTGATCCGAAACCAAGCCATAGCTGTGTCTTGTCATGAAACCACTAAGGGAACATGTCAGTCATATATTATTATTTTAATTTAGCCAGAACACAAGACTCAAATCAAGATGTCTCGATTGTGCATATTTGCATGTCAATCAGAATAACATTAGCTAGCTAACACAGCTAAAGTTAAGTAGCTAGCTAACGGAGTGGGCTGTCAATCAACATCATAACTCATCATTATCTTAACTAACGAAACGTTAGTAGCTAGCTGTCTACCCCCGACTAGTAAACAACTTTGAATAAGTTAACTAACTAGTTTGATTAGCCACAATAAGATTATGAATTCAGCTAGACAACCAGATAGCTAACTCACATATAAATTGTTATTAACGTACCCAGCTAGCTAACTTGGCTAACAGCTAGATAGCAACTTAAATTGTGTATTCCGCTAACTAACTAGGTATAGTTAGCTGGTCAACAAATGTGTGATGAATCATTTCTACGGTCCATATCTGATATTACAGGGCACGAATACCAAGTAAACAACAGGCCTAACTAGCTATGTGAATTAGGTCATCAAAAAATACTGATTTGCTCACGTTAAGCTAGCAAGCTATCAGAGGCGGAAGTGATGGGGTGGCTAGCTGGCATTATTGCAGAGGAAAATAAATGTAGCTAGCTTGTAATGCGGTTATATTACTGCAATATTGGTTTATGAGTTATGTTGGTAAGATAATTAGCCTTACTTGAACAATATGTAGCTAGCTAGATTGTTGTTGTTGTTTTCTGGATAATGTCTCGACCTCACGCTTGACTCGCTAGCTCCGTCCCAACCGTGTTTGAGGGGGCGCACTAAAACAAACGCCTATTCTTTTTCTTCTTCTTTTTTTTATGGCGGACTACAACTCAAAAAGGTGTATTGCCGCCACCAACTGGACGGGTTGAAACCAAAACGTGAAAGGGAAACTAACTTAATCCACCCAAATAAAAAAGTACATTGACAAAACAAAACTCCCACTTCTTCCTTCTTTCAATTCTCCATATCGCCCTTCTCAGGCTCTAGGGCCTGAGAGGGTGGTACGGCTTGTGTCAATATTCCATGTAACTCCTTCGCTGAGAAATATTTCAGCCCCAGGAACCGCTCTTCCGCTTCCACAATGAATTCTATCTTCCTGGACCTTCTCTCCACCTTGGCAGTGCCATTTATCACTATAGCTATAACGGCCACGAAGTCCACCTTCTTAACATTTAAAATGTCAGGATCCTGCTGGTGAAAGGCAACCCCTGCAGCCTGCAGTGAAGGCCTATCCACCACCATGGACTCTTCAAGTGCACCATTCAAACCCTCAACCCTTTTAACAGCTGCTGCATATGATATGCTCTGGATAGCCCTGACTTTGGCCACCTCATTCTCTTTCACCCTTGTGGGGCATTCGAAAGACGTGGCTTCATGGTTCCCACCACAATTGCAAAACAGACACCTATGTGAAGCTAGCCACAATAGGGATTAGCCACAGTAGTGGAATTTGCGGTTTGCTTCAAAATAAAAGTTCCTAATTGAAAGTGATACAAATGGATACAAATAGTGGAATCATGCCATGTTTGGACTAGATCATGCTAAACAAGTTTGGAATGTTGTATAAATTAAACAAAAGACAATAGTTAATTTGACAACAACAAATCAGTTGAAATCACACTGTGATTTCAGAATTGCATTGGGGGCATACTTATATTTCACTGAACAGCCTTACCTATGGATCTTGGGTCCATTAAATTGGGTATCAGCCCACTCAATGACACCCACAGAACACAACTGTGAAGAGTTTTTACAAATATTAGCGTTGTAGGACTTATTGTGGGACTTTAGCTGTGGGTGTAGACTTAAGCCCACTGTGTAGCTCAGTTGGTAGAGCATGGTGCTTGCAACGCCAGGGTTGTGGGTTCGATTCCCACGGGGGGCCAGAATGAAAATGTATGCAGTCGCTCTGCAATGTACAGCCTGTGGGAAATCACCTCCCCAGTCAGCCACATTAAGCTTACTAGTCAACCTACTATGCATATTGGACTTTCATATTGCACTGTACTGTCACTGAGTAGACTGATACCCCATTTCAGTTATCCACAATCCTTAGGTAAGGCTGTACAGTGCAATATGAACGTCCAATACACATAGTAGATTGACTTGGTTTAGGATTAATGTGGCTCATTTCACAGTGGTTTCAGAGTCCCGCAATATGAGCTTGAACACTAATATTTGTTTGAACCCTTCACAGTGGGTGTTCTGTGGGGGTCACTGAGTAGACTGATACCCCATAGGTAAGTCTGCACAGTGAAATATAAGTATTCTGAAGTGGAATACATCCACAGTGCGATTTCAACTGATTTGTACTTTTTTTGTCAAATTAACTAATTGCTGTTTTTTTGTTGAATTTATATAACATAATTCCAAATTTGTTTAGCCTTATCTAGTCCAAATATGGCATGATTCCACTATTAGTATCCATTTGTATAACTTTCAATTAGCGAACCGCATATTCCACTATTGTGGCTAATCCTTATTGTGGCTAGCTTTACATAGATGAAACAGACCAACAAGGGAGTGAAGGGTGGAGGAGGGCGGGTGGTAGAAAAAGCTTTGATGGGAAAGAGTCGGACAGAAATGATTGTGTACCGTCAGGGTTTCCTCCCTCTCTGTGGAAATTGACTGAAACCACAGAGTTCAGAACCTACGGCAGGGGTGCCCGTGCCCCATCGTCCAGACTGCAATAGGTGTTTTTTGTTGTTGTTGTTGTCACAAAATAGACTTATGCCGGGTTCATGTGCTAGTCGGAACTATGAAACTCGGAAATGTCCGACTTGCTAACTGGTTGAACGCGGCACGTGTACTGTATAACTAAAACTAGTTGTTAGCAAGTTGTACATTTCCAAATGTCCTAGTTCCGAGTAGCAGTTGAACACGGCATTATACTTGGGCTGGGATTCTCCTCTCATCAGACCCGTCGCCAGACCTCAGTCTTAAGGGGGGGCATATGAAATGCATGGGAGGGCAGGGCACAATTACTATTAGCCTACAGTATGTATATTTAATAATACATTCCTTCCTTTCTTACATCTTGGCACCACCAGCACAAACACCAACAAATTAATTGAGTCTTAAAAAAGTAAATTGCATGGTAATAATTATCATAATTAATTATTATAGTTAATTGATAATTAAAATGAATGCTAATTCCACTGATGGAGTAGAAATATGATTTTAAAAGTCCCTGTTAAGAAATTTGTAAAAGGCCCTGCATTCTATGCAAATTCTAACTTATTGGGAACAGATTGCTAAACAAAAGTTGACAAAATGGTCAGCCTGTCTCTAATGCTTCACAATGCTGTGTGTGTGTGTGCATGTGTGTGCAGGTGTCTGTTCATGTGCGTATGTGTCTGTTTGTGTGTGTGTGTGTGTGTGTTTGTGTTTGTATGTGCTTCTATTTGTGTGTGTGTTTGTGTGTGTGTGTGTGTGTGTGTGTATGTGTGTGTGTGTGTGTGTAAGTACACTCCATCCTCTGTTGGTGTATTAATAACCATGGCTCTGGCTCTAATCCTGATAAGAGATTTTCTCAGCATTGCTTAAATCCACTTCATGGAAACCAACTCAGGCAAAATGTTTCCATGGAAATGCTCCCAGCAATGTGCTCAATGATAAAGATAACAGGGAGTACAGCAGCAAGGTGTTGGTTTTATTATTACACTATCTACAATTCCTGTTAATTCCTGGTAGAGTAATTACTCTCTTTTTCGGGTTACTGCTACTCTCTATAAGTCTGTTAGTGATGGTTTAGAATAGATTATGGGTTAGACATAAGATGAACAATATTTTTATTTTTATTTTTTTACTATAAAATATATTTATTTACATGAATAGACAAATAATCCATATAATGTCATTCTTATAAAATCCTTGACAAAATATTAAAGTAAACAGTATAAATGGTAATAAAACTATAATTTGAGGAGTCCGTTTCATGGGTGTCTGTACGAGAAGCCCAAGGCCCAGTGAGACTTGTACAGTTCTACTCTTCCCAGACAACACTGCACTTTGCTTCCCATGGTGCCACTGTCCAGCTGAGCTGAGGCCATTTCTGACCCTATAAGCATAAGGTCATAACCTCTGACCTTCACTGGGAGGTCGCTAGTGCTGCTGTGTGCCCTTCCTTGGGCAGGGATGGCTGCCAGACGACCCTCATACATCATACCTGGAAGGGGTAGTCCTGAAGGTAGCGCACTAGTGAGCATGGCAGGGGCAGCTGGTTAGGACAGTCAGTGTGGTGGTTGATGGTGAGTCGGGTAAGGTGCTGGAGGGAGGGGAAGGCCTGCGGCAGGGGACGCAGCAGTTTGAGCAGTACTGCATTGTCCTTCACTGCGGGCTGGGGTGGGCTGGGTTTGGCTTTAGGTTGAGGAGGGTCCTCCACATAATGCTGTACCAGGCTGCAGACATCAGGGAAGGACAGCAAGTGAGGGGGGCCTGGGGAGCTGGAGTCGAGCCGGAAGTGACCCCCGCTGTACTCTATGCGTACATTGGTGGGGCCAACGGCTGTCTTCACTGACAGGGTCAGCATGTAGAGGGGGTGGCTGCTGTCGCGTACCAGGAAGGTTCCCACTGACATCTTCAGGAGAGCGTCTCGAGCCTCACTGGCCGAAATGGAGCCCCAATACCAGCCTGGAGCCAGAAACAGACCCACACGTTACTACACATTACTACTGTGTTCGATATCATCTTACAGCAGCCACACAGACTTTAACACTGACACACACACACACACTGACATATATATACACACACACACACACTGACATCACACACAATGGGGGTGGGGGGCATGGATTAAAAATGGTGTGTTAAATACTAGTTGGCGTACCTGAGTTTTGCAGGTACTGGAAGGTGGTGGTGATGCAGCAGAGGTCCTCTGTAGAGTCGTAGAGAGGGGCAGCCCGATTCTGACATGACCCTCTTCTCTCACCAGGATCCTGCTGCATGCTGTTCATCGTCCTGGCAATCATATTCGAAGGTGGCCCTGGCAACAGAGCCCTGAGGTGAAGAAACGATTGTCCATTTAGTGCATGGATTGGATAGGCTATAACACAGTAGTTACTATGGAGACAGGCACATATGTCATAGGTGTGGCAAAATGGTTTTTTTCCACCCCACAATGTGGTCAAATAAGATAAGTGGTGGGAGGGGGGAGAGATTGCTCATGTAACTTGCTTTGTGTTTGATGTTTAGGGGAATAAAAAGCATGAGCTGGCGCACACCCAGAGAAAATCCTGACTGATGAAAATCAGTGAATATCAGACTACAAAAACAGTTTTTCATAACTTGGCAAATGGTGGTATATGAACCACAGGAGGTTGATGGCACCTTAATTGGGGAGGACGGGTCATGGCAATGGCTGGAGCGGAATCAGTGGAATGGTATCAAATACATCAAACACATGGTTTCCATGTGTTTGATGCCATTCCATTCGCTCCGTTCCAGCCAATATTATGAGCCGTCCTCCCCTCAGCAGCCTCCACTGATATAAACCCATAGGAGGCACTTTGTTAAACTGTCAGACAGGGGGCCCGAAGGCACTGATGCTGCCATTACATAAAATGTGGCAAATGTTGTGAATGTGTCAGGAATCTGTAGCCTATTGAAGATTATTTCCTCCTTTTTGTATCAACCATGACTTTCACTATCAACCATCATAGCCGCGGGAAGTAGGAGTGCTGAGGGTGCTGCAACACCCCCTGATAAATCGAAATACAAATATTAATGGACACAATTAGTACACTAGGCCTTTATTACTCCTGTATGAGTGGAGAAAAATACTTGTCAGCAGAGTGGAGAAAGATACTTGTCAGCTATCCCCCTCCCCCGGAGGTCTGGCCCCCCAGATAGCATATGAACACCTCATAAGAAAGAAATGTTTAGAATCACATGTAATTAGCTTTAACACTGAAACATTTTCTCTCAGCCTTATGGCAAAATGCATAGAATAGCAGGAAATTAGCTCAGAGATTCTTGAAAGTCGGGACAATCCTTGTCCAGCAGGGAAACCTTATTTCTATAGTTGTGAAGATTTTTGTTTTTTTTGCATTATTTGAGCTTAAAATGTACATTTATGGGGAATTTTATAAGGGAAAATATATGTTTTTGGAATTTTCAAAATACTTTGAATATTATTCATGTTGACTCTATGCCTGGAAATGTCCTAGTCCGGAGCAAAGAATCCAGTTTTCAAACTCTCCAAAAAAGCGTTTAAAATTTAAAATGGCAATAATGGATATTAATAACTGAAAAATGATCTTATGTAGTTTTTTGCAATAGCCCTCTGTGACTTTAAAGAATATTTATCCCAAAAATGATTCCTAAAAGATGTCCATGTAGTGCAACAAGACCACTCATGATCTGGAAAGTTCTCTACTTTTGACAGATTTAAACAAACAATATTAGAATCACCATGGTCATAACCATAAATTGTCCTGTATAACACTTGAATAAAGAAGAAAAATGACATGTTTGTCAACTCCGTAAAACATCAACTCCATCAGATTTTTGTTGAAAGAGCTGATAGGATGGTTTATATTGGGGATTTTCAAATGAATCATTTTCCATATTTTACAAATGTTTGTATTGAACTTTTACTTTTAGAGGCAAAAATATGTATGTTTTGATTATCTGTTGTCAACTCCATCAGTGGCTTGTCAACTCCATCAGTGGCTTGTCAACTCCATCAGTGGCTTGTCAACTCCATCAGTGGCTTGTCAACTCCATCAGTGGCTTGTCAACTCCATCAGTGGCTTGTCAACTCCATCAGTGGCTTGTCAACTCTGTTACTGATGGAGTCAATATTTTTTTGTCAATATTCTGAAACATATTTTAATCTCTGTTCTGCAACATATGCTTAGAGAATTGAAGTATTTGCTGTGCTAGACCTGAGGGATAATGTTTGTTTTATACATTTTGTTTTATGTTCTAAATCTAGAAAATAAACATGCCAAAATACTCACAACATTAGCCCTGGAGCATTTAATAGTGCTATTAAACAAACATAAAGATGTTTGGAGATTTGTATTACATATTTGAATAATCTAATGTTAGAATTAAACAATCAAGGCCTTCAAACACGTGTTGCACAATACTTGTAAAAATGAAATGCCTTTTATGGTGTCTTATGGAGATTATATAAATTCATTTAGTTGCATTTTATGATTTATTTGTATTAGGTTGTTCCTTTACGTGGTGTGGTAGGGCGGCAGGTAGCCTAGCGGTTAGAGCAACTGAAAGCTTGCTGGTTTGAATCCCCGAGTCGACAAGGCTCTGTTGGTGTACCCTTGAGCAAGGCACTTAACCGTAATTGCTCTGGATAAGAGTGTCTGCTAAATTACAACAACATAAAACATAGCTGATACTTTGGTCTATCAAAATATATATTTCATATTTTGTTATATTAAGACCAATATTTTGGGGAACAAAATGTAGATTGTCCCGTCTTTCAAGACTCCCTGGGCTCTAAAACAGCAACATTTTCTCTCAGCCTCATGGCAAAATGTGTAAAATAGCATGAGATATATAAAGCTATGTATGTAGGTCACAAGGTCAAATACGAATTCTTGACCTGCAATCACTTCCATTCTGGATAAAAGGTCCATCAACATTCAAAGTTTCAGGTTAAACTACAGGCCTAATTTCATCTGCAAATATAAAATCATATATATCATAGACCCTTTAATAATTATCCTGGCTTTGTTCCACTCCGTCTGATACAACAAATACGATCTGTGCTAATACGGAATTTTCTTTGACTATTATGATGTCAAAACTGAGGCTACATTTTCTCAGCACAGTCAAGGTGTGAAATTAAAATGAGCATATAGGGAGAAAAAACATTATTACCTAGCCTAATAATTGTTCCAACAATACATTTTACTTACCTTTGAACACACAATCATAATGAAATTGAATCCAGTTGAAAAAATGTGATAGGCTGTACAATTATTTAACAGATCCAGTGATTCTTAATGTGTAGGAACAGTCACTGAGTTCATGCTGTCATGGCGCCAATAATCCGACAAAAAATGTTTCTCATCAAATCAAGAGACTTTTCTGATTTTTTTTCCAAAACTAAAAAATCATAAGTTATTTTGGTGATAACGTAAAAAATCTCCAATGTGTCAGTGTCAACCTTGGAAAAGAAAGATAGGCTACGTCCAACGCAGTGATCCACTCGCCAGACACAATTGTTCTATGTTTTATTCTACAGAAAGACCGTGAGAAAACGCCTCTCTTGTAAAGTCAGTTTTGCGGGTCGACGGAAGTTCTAGGAATCTAATTCCAAGAATGGCTTTGTATTTCAGAGCGGCGGTGGCAAGGGCGGCTTCTGCCCACTCGGTTTCGCGGAACTGCGCTTATGAGCTGCGCTGCGTTTCGATTGGCTCCATACATGCTCCGTTTACTTCTCTGCCGCGCGACAGGGCTATGGAAGCGGCCCAGCTGGCTTCACCAGTAATGCGCAGCTGATGACTTCCAAGTAGTGCACTTTCCAGAAAAGCTGACTAAATTTTGACTTTAGCCACTGACTGAGCCTCCGCTTTATAATGCTCCGCCCTCCTAATTTCTATAGCAGGGATCTTCAACTCAATGGCGATTTTAGCATGTAAATCATGGTGGGGCAAACTCAAACATTTTGTTTTTAATGCATGCCAGCAAAGCCACTACACAACACTAAACAATACATTAATTACACTGTAACGGTGACAAACGGTGCCCACAAACTGTTAGGGCCTACATAAAGCTGTCCCAACAGCAGAGCTTTCTTTTCATCACAATGGCGTGAATCCTTACCACCGCTACACCTGGCTAGCAGCGGAGACTTGTTTGGCAGCGAAACAGTTCATTCAGCCTCATTTACTGCCATTTAAAAAACATAGCTGATATGGCTGACTTGCTTAAACAAATGTGGTTTCTACTGACAACTGAGATGTACAAACTATGGCATAAGAGGATGATGAGCGGATAAGAGGCAATCCGTAATTTCGATTAACACATGAATAAGCGAGCTAGAACGATGTAGTCAATATAAGTATTTGTTCAGCACTTTTGAAATGTACAGCGACATAATTCAGAACATGGGCCTTTCTTACACTATTCTCCCTGTATACCAAGTCAAAACCGTAGGATAAATAAAGGGGGCCTACAGTGCATTCGGAAAGTATTCAGACCCACTGACTTTTTCCACATTTTGTTACATTACAGCCTTATTCTAAAATGGATTAAATTGTTGTTGTTTTTCTTCATCAATCTACACACAATACCCCATAATGACAAAGCAAAAACAGGTTTTTATAATTTTTTGCAAATGTATTAAAAATGAAAAACTGAAATATCACATTTACAAAAGTATTCAGACCCTTTACTCAGTACTTTGTTGAAGCACCTTTGGCAGCGATTACAGCCTCCAGTCTTCTTGGGTATGATGCTACAAGCTTGGCACACCTGTATTTGGGGAGTTTCTCCCATTCTTCTCTGCAGATCACATTTCTTCTCTGCAGATCCTCTCAAGCTCTGTCAGGTTGGATGGGGAGCGTTGCTGCACAGCTATTTTCAGGTCTCTCCAGACATGTTTGATCGGGTTCAAGTGGCTGGGCCACTCAAGGACATTCAGAGACTTGTCCTGAAGCCACTCCTGCGTTGTCTTGGGTGTGTGCTTAGGGTCGTTGTCCTGTTGGAAGGTGAACCTTCCCCCCAGTCTAAGATCCTGAGCGCTCTGGAGTAGGTTTCATCAAGGATCTCTCTGTACTTAATTTTTATTTATTTTTTATTTTTAGTCATTTAGCAGACGCTCTTATCCAGAGCGACTTACAGGAGCAATTAGGGTTAAGTGCCTTGCTCAAGGGCACATCGACAGATTTTTCACCTAGTCGGCTCGGGGATTAGAACCAGCGACCTTTCGGTTACTGGCACAACGCTCTTAACCACTAAGCTACCTGCTACTTTGTACCATTCATCTTTCCCTCTATCCTGACTAGTCTCCCAGTGCCTGCCGC